AATACAGGTATAGAGTACCATGTGCAAATATACTAAAGGTATTTATGTTCAACTTGCCTATTGAGACAATCTGTATTCTTAGTGAAGTGAGACTATGGAAATATGTTACCCATGATGCTGTGTGGGTTTACACAGAATTTGCATTGCTTTGCCATATAATACTTTCATAACATTTTTTTGAATGAAACACCTCTCAACTGGAGAAGTACTGTAGTAAGACAGAACAAATGTAATGTTTCAGTTTTTGTTTTCATTCTACTTTTCAGCATGGAATTAACCTGTACTTGTTCCATTGCAGTTTGCATGCTGAGACAGTTCCCCACTTGCAATTAATTTAGAAGTATTCTGTATGTGTGTGTGCATATACAGTACACACACCTGTAATTCTATACATTAAAGGATGTGATTTGTGTGCACCAATACACCGACATTTTTATTAAATGTTGATTGACAGTTCCCAAGAGGTTGTCATGATGGAATACATCTGGTGACCATGGTGAAGATCAACTTCTAATCTCCACTTTCACCTTTAAAACAGCTTGACTAAATTAAAACCAATATTGAATTGTAATGCTTCACACATCTTTACATAGCAAGAAGACCAAATATATCCTGTCTGACCTGCATAAATGGTTTTATAAAGAAAGGGCAAAAGCAGCCAGAAATGTTCTACTGTTTGGGTGGAAATAGTAAGTAATTGCTTCAATTATGGAGTACACTAAGGTTGCCTTGGTAACTGTAGATTTAAAGCTGCCCTGGAGTACTGGTAGTTGTCTTTCAGCAACTACCTCAGTCTAAGCTTTGGAGAAGTATATCTTCTGTAGGCTCTTTTATGTATTTATGAAAGCTGGGGTAAATATTTATATGTGCTGCAGGTACAATTTCCATTTTAACTAAAAATATTCCAGAGGACCGGGTTCACAGTGGATTCAGACTAACAATATTTGCACAGTTCCTCTGACTCTGCAGTGCAATTATGCACCTTCTTCATCAACAAGTGCATGAAACCAAGCACAGTGCTACTGGCCAAGCTGTAATGAATGTTTGTGTCTACTCCATCATTTGTGTGGTGTTTCATTACTGTACTGTCATGTGCCTTAATGAATATAATAAATAAAGTAGGCTTTATCAAAGAGAAAATTTCACTGGCACTGGTTCTCTAGAAGAACTGACTGAATTTCACATTTGTGAATCCCATCTAAATTTCTGGGGTTGCAGTGCTCAGAAGAGCGACTATCAAGAAAAGCCGCATGGAAGTGATTCGCAGGGAGCCAAGTGAAGACCAGTATGCTGACATCTCATCTGTAGGTGAGTTTTAAAAAACAATATACAGTATACTGCAGGACACAAAGAATAATTCAGTCTATCTGTTCTACCGCTCTACCAGAAAACCACTTCACTTTGCAATAAAATTAGATCCAAAGGTCAAAAAGGTTTCTGTTTTTGCAGGACGTTTGTAAAGCGGAAGTATTGAGGGATCAGGCGTCTGCATACCAGAGTCAAATAGAGATCTATTAATATTATGTTTAAACTAAAAGTTACAATTTCAACATATACTTGGATAAATCGAACAATTATCATCGACCTTGTGTGACAGTGGTCACACAAGATGTATGCAGTCAAACTCTTATAAGTACTCAGTCTTGTTTTGATAGGAGCAAATGCAATTCCCGATTCTATCTAAAAAGATGAAAAAAAAATCTTTAACACAGAAGACAGCGCACAAGTGGTTCTGTGTAACTAAATAAATTAGCACAAACGAGGAGATGGAAAATACTCCATTTTCTTGTTGTGTCAGAAGATTGTCCAGACCGCCGATGAACTTTAACCTTTCTAAATCCCTTTCCCAGGCATCCCTCTTGCAAGGGCCAGCATTAAGAGTGCTAAATTCGGCGGAGCCTCGTACTGCCGGAGGAAAGAACGCATGCTCCGCATTTCCATCCGCCGCATGGTCAAATCACACACTTTCTACTGGACGGTGCTCAGTTTGGTGGCCTTGAACACACTGTGTGTCGCCATTGTGCACCACAGACAGCCTGAGTGGCTTTCCACTTTTCTATGTAAGTCAGCTAAGAGTTGATGCTCAGCTTGTATCACACATTGACGTTGTCAGAAGAAACTGCACAATTCTGGTATCCTTTTTCCAAATCCCACTAGTGGGATTTTCATTCATCCTCACTCATCTCGGCACAAACACAAATTGGACGCCCAGTCCGCAACTTAGTTCAACACTTGTAATGTTAGTAACTGCGATGAATTGGAGGTAGATACTGTAGGTGTCCTCTGATCTTTTCCAAGGATCCTGACCAGTGCATGCACAAACCCAGGGATCTGGGAGATATCCTTGAAATAACCATCCTTCTGATGTTCTGAAACTCAGGATAAAGGCCAGCTGCTCTAAAACAAGGCCAAAGAAATAACAGATTTCAACTCGTACCCCATGCATATTGGGCAGGGGTCTAATTCACCACAGTAGTGCACCTTGTCATTTTTACATTCCTAAAGCTTCAATAAAATCATCTGTGTTGTGGTTTTCCAGCTTCATACTAAGGTGATTAAAAATACAAATGCACCAATCCTAATTTAAAACATTCAATACTCTTAAAAAATGAATAACAGTGTTTTAAGTTTTGATCTGAGAGTGACATACAGTATAGCTAGGTGTACGATAGCAAAGCATTAAGGTGCCTGATACAAACAAGGGTAGTGTGTCGAATTGCAATCCTACAATGTTGTTTTTTCTGTTGTGCAGACTATGCAGAATTCCTTTTCCTAGGACTCTTTCTCACCGAAATGTTTCTAAAAATGTATGGCCTGGGACCACGGCTCTACTTCCATTCATCCTTCAACTGCTTTGACTGTGGAGTAAGTTTATGGATTTCAATTGTTCACCTTTGTCACACTGTAAGACTGAAGAGACGCTCTAATATTAAGCCTGGGTGGGGTATGTCAGCTTTTCTTACACACAGGCAAGAAGCTAGCCTGCCAGCTTTAAAAATGGCTTCTTTATTGAACTAAAAAAAGACTGAGAGAAACACTTCTGGGAGTGACCTGGATTTACTGTCCCACTTCTAAGATCTGTGTTGTCAGTCCTCATGATTTATAGATAATCTTTGTTATTTTAGAGGGTAAAGAGAAAGATTAATAAGACTCAGTGTGAAAAGCACACTGTTCCTCTTCCTGCATGTTTTAACCTAGTTTAACTACCCAAAAGCTAAGTTAAGTTAAAATATGCAGGGACAGCTATGATAGAGTATATTGAGAGGACAATTGATAAAAAGTTAGAAGATAAGGGTACTGTATATTGAAGCAGGGAAAGGTGTATAATAAAGTTCAGGTGACATTTAACTTTTGGTATCTTTACAAAATATGAAAGAAAATGTATGTTTTGTCCCTTCCAGAGATTTATTTGAATCTTGATTTGCAAAGTTCTCTTTGGTGCCCCATATTTGTATTACAGTTGATTTATCTGGAATCTTGGAGTGACTTGGTCACTGTACCAGCAGAGGCAGGTACTGCAAAAGCACCTTGTATTCCACTGAAACATGCAACAGAGCATATAGAAGGGTTGTTGTTGATTGGAGAACCCATGTGACTAATGCTTAACAACCATATCTGTGCAGCAAGGAAAGGGAGAATGCCCACGTGTTTGTGCCCTGCCTTCAAGCCAATCCAGTTCGGTTAATTCTTGGCAAATTGTGCACTGCTGAATGTACTGCATCACAGCTGATAATACAACCTAGACCCATACCACCAATATCCACTATCTCTATAATATGGCACCCCTTGCCCTCCAAATCAACCCCTGTACTGCTTGAGCCACTAGGAAGAACAGAAGCTATTTGCTTCAACCATGCAAGCTTTAGATATAATCTCTGTTTCTACTGTAGATTAATAATAGAACTGTAAGATAACGAATTTCACTTTTCTGACATACTTTACTGTGAATCCAGAACATCTTCACTCTGATGTTGAAAACATTATCATAGCCATCCTTTTTTTAAAACTGAAATGTAATCATTAAAGGTTTAAGGCATCTTAGTTCCTTTTCTGAAGCATAATGTTAAAAAGGATTTATTTTGCATAATGAGCACTAAAAAGAATGCATTTTTTGAATGCCATAAAGAAAAAAAGATTCTAAGAATGGGAAAAAAAGATTACAGTGTGTCAGAAAATCTTGAGGTCTTCATGACGTTTTTTTATTAAATAAGCAGCAAATGATGAAAGTGCAGAGTCTGTCAGCTTTGGTGTCAGTTATAAAGAAGCATATCTTTCCCTCAGTCTTTGGAATGCAGATTTGTGGAACACTATTCCAAGTGGAATAAAATCAGATAGAATATCCCACTTTTCAACCATTTAAAACACAATTAGTTTTTGTTTCTCAAAACACCTCCTCATACAGTAGTTTGTCATAACTACACAAATTTCAGTACTGGGCTTCTCAATGAGCTATCACTGTAGTTTGGAAGCATTTTTAGCATTATTTAATCATCCACATGCTGTAAACAGTTAGTTGAAGTTGATGCCCATTACCTCTACCTACAGTAGATGCTTTATAGCCTTGTGAGTTTGAATGGTACCCAAGAAAATGTTTAATTGTTATCCCACATTTCATTTATTGACAAATGTTTGTCCTGTTTCAATACAGTTTTGCTTTGTGAGTGTTGATTCGCATTGCCTTTAATCTCTTTTGTATACCTTTGCTCAATGTTATAACTTGGTTTCTGAAGGATTACACTGCAGTAAAGGAGCAATATAAAATGAAATAGGTTATCTTTTAGTATTAAGGAATGTTTTTTTTCAGTAGCCAAATTTTTTTTATGCACACTATACCATCTCACAATTTTATCATAAATATTATAAAAATGAACTCAGAACTCAGCCACCAGACCAGCATTTTGCAAAATTTCCTGTGCATTTTTGCTTGAACCATTTCATGCATGAACATTTCAATTTGTACAACACTAAATAATGCACAGCCATAAAATAGCAGGGGAGTTGAGTGAGTATTACTCTTTAGATATTGACTTGCTATTGTTTAGATTGTTAGATGTCATCTGTGGAACAGAAGCTGATAAAATGTAAATAATAACCAGCCATATGCTGACATAGGCTGTGACGCTGTTGTTTTCATGCATTTATAAGAAAATATATCTTTAAATTAAATGGGAAATTTCAGCAACTCGTTTTCACAGTTAGTCTCAAAATATTTAGTAAAAAAAAATGTAATATACATATATTAGAGGTTTTTCATGTTTCTAATAATTAGTAGAGATTATAGGTAAAAAGCTATTTTAACACAGATTGCTTGGGCACATATAATTCGTTTTTTTCTACACTCATTATGTTATGCTTACTGCACTATTCTCAAAAAACATAAAAACCAAACACTCATCATGTTGCAAAACCAACGTTTTGTTTCTAGACATATTTGTTCAACCCTCTGAAAGATGATTGTTCTGTTTTCTTTTACAAAGAAACAGCTGTGTAATTTCAACTTTTTGTTTGACCTTTCCGTAATACTGTACAGAAAGCACCATTGTGAAACACCTTTAAAATAAGGTAATACACTTGCACTGATGCAGGAATAATGATAGCATCGTGCAGTTAGGTTTTTTGGTGGGGGGGGGCGGGTTGTTCACACAATAATTTGTAAAACAGTTTTTAGCGAATATTTTTGAAATGATGTCACTGCTCAAGTAAAACAGAGCTGAAAAATAGCCCTTCCATGATGAGTCCTGGGTATGAATATTCATATTCTGTGATTTTGTGGTAATAACCTTTGGAGAAGTTTTGCCATGGGGATGACATGCTCTGAGAGCATCTGCTGTGGTGTTTGTAGGTGATCGTCGGCAGCATCTTTGAAGTGGTCTGGGGATTCTTTCGCCCTGGGATGTCTTTCGGAATCAGCGTCCTTCGAGCTCTGAGGCTGCTGAGGATCTTCAAGATCACAAAGTGAGTGTCTTTAGTCGTCCATGTGCTTGGTCAGTGTGTTTAACCACCATATCTCAGACAAGAAGGGACCGACTGTAACCCTGAGATTTCTTATTCTTTGGTCAAAAGAGTTTTTTCATGTTGCTGCCAAAAAGCTTGCTATGTGGCTAGTGACAATAAAGTTTTTCATTGTAACACGCACTGTAAGTCTGCATCGTATGTGAACACAGAGCTTGCACCTTTTCACTTTAACATTCTTCATGCCTGCTTTTTTTTTAAACTAAAAACACTTAATAATCGAGGCTTCATAATCTTGTATTAATAAAACAGTATGTACAGTATACATTACCATTTTAAAGCATTTTAAACCCAATATTTGGATAACAGGAAGAGAAAACGATATAATAAATTTGTCCTTATTCTGCTTATTCTCTAATAGCTTTGCCTCCCTGATAACAGGCCCATGTTAAGAGAGACGGCCATATTTAATAGATGAAAAATCTACTGTAAGTTAAACAACACACATGAAGGAGATGACACTGGCCACTTTCACACATAAATATTAATGTATATGGTATTTTCTTTTAAAATTAAATCTGCAGTTTAACATGTACAGTTAATTGAGCTTGGTTCCTAGAGTGAAACTGCGACTGTTTGACGACAATGCACCTCTCTCAGTCAGCACTCCACCCTGGCTTCTGATTTACCTGGAGAAGCCCACAGTATCAAATGAAGCTGTTACAGTAATTATATCCCATAAAGATTCTGAGTTTTAGTCTATGCCATACAGTTTGCAATGAAGATATGTTTTGAAACCATGCTATTAAAGGAACTGTGTGATAGGTATATCAGAAGCAAAGTTTTTAGTGCCAGAAAATAGATAGAAATTATCGGCTTTGTTTTTAGTGCAGTCCAATACATTGCTAAAGTGCCATTGTGTGCATTTGAGGTTTTAAATTTAAAATAACACTTTAAACAACCCTTTTAGCCTTCAAATTTGTGTGTGGGAATGCAAATGTTCAGCATCAATGACAAATGCAAAGGACCTTTTTTTTCCACAATGCTTTTTTTATGGTACTACAGTATGTCTTCTCTCAATTATGTCTTAAAATATAAGAATTATGCCATCAAAAGTATAAAAAGTGCATATGATTAGATCACAGCCTTCTTCATTCATATCAACATAGCTATTAAATGCAATTACTCTAAGTGAAATGCAATCTGTTTTAATCATCATTCCCAACCTTACTTTCCATTGGTAATAATTGTAATTTAGATAAATAGCTTATCAGAGACAGTAACTGCAATTAACTGCAGTCCCGATTCATTCTAACTGTTTCTTAAGTACTGAAGGGGGGAAATATTTGAATTTTCAAAGCCGCTACACTAAATGTTTCATAAATAAGCTGTGCTTCAGGTAGCTCCTGTATAGTTCGCAGTGGTTTCAGGATTGATATTCAGGACCTTTCAAGTGGTAAAAACATTGAAGGGGATCATTCAGAATATACTGTAGGTTAAGTACATGATAGTTTAGACACTGTTGGATTCAATATTGGGTTAGTTATTAGGCAGCTCTGAGAGGGATCTTCCAAGAGTTCAATAACTAGAGGATCACTGCCAGGATTAGGTAGGCTTCATTTGGCCTCAATAACCTCAGATTGACAAGTAACAAAAACACCATATTGCAGTCTGGGCTCCTGTGAGTTTACAGTAAGTTCACTGGAAGCTGCATCACACTGTAATCGTTAACTCAGTCTGCCTTGAGCATTATGCAGCCCACAGGATGAAAATCATGCAGTTGGCTCTTACAGCACACATTTCGTAGGAAAGTCCCACTAGTGCAAGTGCACAGGTGAGTTGAGTGAACTGGCAATTAGAAATTTGAATTTTAATGCTGCAGTTACTTATTTTCTTCCTAGTGAGATGAAATGTGTAATATAAAAAGTTATTTTTTTCAAAGAAATATTTACATTTCCTGGCCAGCACATCCAACTACAAAGTATGGTGACTAAATTATACACAGTATTAAAAGGCCTTATTAGTCCATTGTACAAGTTTAACATCCTGTAACATCGATGATTTAAATTCAGCAACTGTACATCCGTACATTTTGTTAGCCTTTTTTAGCGCTTCCCCTCATTGAATTTAATATTGAATTGTCATCAAAAACACCAAGGTCTTTTTCATGCATTGTCTCTTAAAGCTAAACATTTTCCTTTTTTATTTACAATATACAGTAATTTATGTTTTTGCTACCTACATGCAGCGGGGTTTTACACTTGTCAAAACCCTGGATTATGCTTCATTGCCCACTTTTTTGTGCTGTCTTAAATTGTATCTAAATCTTTTTTACTTTCATATGTTGCTTCTTTTAGTGTTTGCTTATCTTCCTATTTTTATTTTCTACAATCTTGGTTATATTACTAACCATCCCAGAATGCCCATCAATGATATAAATTAGAAAGCGGTGATTATAGCATACTACACAAATTGTATCACTCCAATTTGACCATTCACTCTTTACTCTTAATCTATATGCACATAAGTATTTCAACAAACCTGTGCTGCCTGTATTTTGAAAATGAAATTGATTTATAAGGAGCTTTATCAAAAGCCTTGTTAAAATCTGTAAATACCTGTAACAGACCTCATACTTGGTAAGCTCTTACCCATCTGAGCATGATTATCCTCACTCCCTCTATACAGTATCTTTTTCTTTTCCTTTCACATACAACCCTCACAGTCTGGAGTGTACTCACACCTGCCAGAAGGTCCTTCTCTATTCCTGCAGTGGAGACATACCAGATGTCACTAGTTGCCAGGGAGCCAGCACTGGGACAGGCACACTCCACCACACTTCCTCCACAGAGTTAGTGTTCTTCCGGCCACACTTTCCACTCTCTGGTCTTCACACAGGGTACACTGACAGAGCCAGGAGCCAATAATCAGCCCTAACACACTGCTTCCTTCCAGTTACATCTCTTGTTATCCAGTTCCCAACTATACATTCACAAGACCCATGTTAACCGGCAGAGCCAGGAGTGTAATAATCAACCCCTCACCCTTGCTACATCAGTCCTGGGGGATCACAGCTGACTCTCCTGCTCTCTAATTTGACAGCTACATGCCCACTGCAACATACCTACACATTATCACACTACTGTAGTCCCGACACAAGCTACAGTCTGACTGGCCACCAGAGAAGGCATTCCACACTGGTGGCTTCACCATGCCACATACACTGAATTCCACCAGCATATCCCCTTATCCCATTGTCATTCCATCTTTTCCATTGGAAGTCCTCTGGGCTCCTAGCTTTCACATGCAGTTCCCTTTCCAGAGAAGACTGCTCAGTTTTCTTTACCTGCTTCTTCACCTGTCACCATTCACTATCACAAACACACATCACAGCACTCAACACATGGCTCAGTACCACAGTATCACATAGCTGGTGATTCGAAACATCAGCCTTCAACTGTTGACAAGACTGCACTTCACCAGGCTCTCCCTCAGAGTCCAAGACACTGAGTGCTGCAGAGTGCGACAATAACTACAATTGGACATTTAATAAGCTTGAGTTCTTCTTGTACTTGAAACACATCTGCCTGTCTTGTACTAATATGTTTTTTGTCTTTGCATTGCTTGAGGCATGTGGTTGTCTTCTTGCTTAGTGAACACCTGAGTGAAATACTTGATAAATACAGTGTCTCTGTCATTTCCCTTTCATAACCCAGATTTTATTTTGTCCTTTCCTGTTATTTTGCTGTTGCAGTACTGAAAAACGTTTTGATATTTATCAATAATGTGTTGATATTTTAACCCTTCACTCTGTAATATTCCTTTCTCTCTTGACCTTTTTTGACACATTTTTATTTGTGCTTACAATTCATTGTAGTCCATTTATTTAACTGGATCTTGTTTTTTTTTTCATAACTTCATAAAGTGTTTTTCCTTTATATTTGTTCTAATTGATTTGTTGAACCATGTGGGGTACCATTTAGCTTTTAATTTATTCACGTTCGGGATTAATCTGTTCTGTGATTCTGGCAGAATTAGTTTAAACTGTTGTCATCTATTCAGTCTTGTCCCATTTTACTTCTCTTAAACTGTCTTATTTTTTAAAAGTCTGTATCATGAAACGATAAACTTTTGGACTTTTGCATAGTTTGTATGTACTGTACAGGACATAAGCATGCTATGTTATGATCGTAGTTGCCTCGCTACTGTACTTCAGACATTTCAGTTTCTGCTGCTCTCATAAAAAACTACTTATTTTGCTCATAAAGTTTTTGTTTTTTACATATACTGTAGTGTAGAGTTATAATTAACATTTGTTGGTCTATACTGTAGCATACTCCTAACACTACACCTTTGGAATGCAGTTTTATAGAAGTCAGACCCATGTAGATTCTCAGGCTCTTGATTCCTCTAGGTTTAGTTCCTGAACCTGAATACTCTTTCTCATACTGTATATAGTGTAATGCTACCACTTCATCTATCTTTCCGGTCTCTCTGGAATAGTGTGGATATACTAATGTTGTATTTATCTCCATCATTTTAGATGTTCATTTAGCCATATTTCTGGGGTTCCAACAACATTATAAGAGTTAATCGCAGTTTTGACTGTAGTGTTTTTATTATCCCCAGCATTTAGGTGTTAAATGAGGACCTTGTTCAGTTTTTTTCCTTCGGATTTCCTTTTGACTGTGCTCCCAACCTACCTTTCTTTTGGATTTTCTTTGGTTTCTCCCTCTTTCTATTCTAGTTTAAATATCTTGTATCAAGACAGCTGGTGCCCATCTCATTCATATATAACCCATCACGTTTGTTGCCTTTATCAAGGAGTGATTGTTACCACACATTTAGTCTGCCATTTGAGTTCCTCAAGGATGGTCCACATGTTATGTACAGAAAGCTGCATATCATTGGTTTAAATCCTTTTTTTCCCTAAAGTATTACTGTATAAATATATTATATTGTAACGCCCTCGCCTGGTGGTGAGGAGGAAGCGCCCCTAGGCGCTCATAGTACCGGTGGGCATGCTGGGAGTTGTAGCCGGGGAGAGTCTGAGGTTCAGCACGATGACCAGCGGTTGACCCTACCTGTGTAAATAATGTAATTGTCACGCCCCACACTCTCTCTCGCAAACGACGTTACATTCCCGGAACCTCTGCTTCGCAATCTCATCCCTGATTGAACCCAGCACATTCTCACATGCATCAGATTCCTCAAATTCTCACTCCCTAACCAATCATCCAATCACACCCCTTTCCTTTCAGTATTTAAACCCCTTTCGCACACCTTCCCACGTTCACTATTGAAAAGCCTTTCTAGTATTCTCCATTGTGCGTTTCCAAACCTTTCAACTGATCTCCCGTTACGAATCTTCTGCTTCCGCCTCTTGACCTCGCCTTCTGGATTTTGTCTTTTGAATTGTTTTTTGAATATCTCCCGTTACCGGACCCTCTGCCTCCCTTATCGACCCAGCCTTTGGATTTTGTCTTTTGGATTGTCCCTTTGCTTCTCTGCGTCCTGTGGGATTCCGGTCACGCATAAGGATCCTCCTATTCCACGTATAGGCTCCGTGACAGTAATAGTAGTTCTAGTGTCCTGTGTAGTCTTATAAGTTCTGAGAAGAACCTGTAAACGCTACAATATGAATGCCAAACTTAAAATGTTTTTAACCACATTTGATAATGCTCCTTCTATTTATTAACTGCTGACAGCTTGAGAATGAGAAGGTGTGGAAGTGTAGAATTGTAGTGAGTCTGTTTGCCCTGTTTCACAGCACGCTTTGTACTCTTCTTTCAGAGGATTGTATGAATATACTTTCCAGCAGCTTTTCATCTGACAGCACTTCTCAAAAGCTGAATGAATAGCTTTCACACTGTGGTACACTGTCCTGTTCCCATGTGTCTTTTATGTAAAGCTATAAGCAAGAACTACTCAAATAATTGTTTCTTTTAAAGAGTGCGTGTGGATTTCAGTTTTTGGCTTTAAAAAGCCATCTGTCTTCCTGCAGGTATGCATGTGCATTGCCCATATTTTTAAAATATTCCTTCATGGCGATGTATAATGGTAAAGCAATTGTCACTCTTAATATACAACGTTGTAACTCAAAATTGGTGTTCCACAGTGTGAAAGCTGAGCAACTGCCCACCTCAGACCTCTAAATCATGTGTTGTGTCCCCTGCACCAGGTACTGGGCTTCTCTAAGGAACCTTGTTGTATCCTTGATGAACTCCATGAAATCAATCATCAGCCTGCTCTTCTTGCTCTTCCTCTTCATTGTGGTCTTTGCCCTGCTGGGAATGCAGCTTTTTGGTGGCAGGTAACTATAATGCAGTGATTGTTAGAAGAGCCATTGACCATTATGGTATTTGTAAGACTCTTCTTTAGTGAGCCCTTCGTTGGTGAATTAGGTCAAATTTGGATGCAAAGCCTAAACACATTTCAGGAAGTAAAGTGCATTTGATTTAATGGAAAGCCTTGCATATAACCCAGTTAAAAATAATGTGAACTGAAATAGAACAGTAATGGTGCACTTACAGTACATATTATTTATTAATCCATTGGCAAGAACGTCAGGGTCTTTAAAAACAACAACTGTCAAAGCATATAAAGGAAAATAATTGAAGTCTAAAGTACTTATTACTAAATGTTAAAAATGTTTAAAATATTACAGTGATGATATTAAAGAACAGATGTAATTGATCCAAGTGAAATCCATGGACCAGTAAAAGTATCAACAAAGTATTAGGTCATCAACATGGAAGGTAATCCAAACTGTCACAAGTACCACATAACTTGAAATCCACAGAAATTGTGATTTCAACGATACTAGTTGCCTTTTTGTATTTTTGAGTGATTAATGCAGATGAGCGCACTCACAGATCACTAAACAAGGTTTTCATTGTAGTGACAGCTTTAGAAATAGTTACACCACCTGGAGATATAATTCGACAGCTATAGCAACAGTGGCTTTGTTTCGCAAAAAGAATCATTTTAAGCTTCATTACCAACATCACATTAAGTAGACATTTTGACTTAGACAGACTGACTGAAGGTTTGTTTGCTAAAAAGTGATTTCCTATTGTGGAAAGATTTTCTGTGCTCCTAAACGTTTGTTTGTTTGTTTGTTTTTTGTCTTCATTCACTATAGGTTCATCTTTGAGGATTATACTCCAACCAACTTTGACACATTTCCAGCAGCGATTATGACAGTGTTCCAGGTTTGGCTTAATTATTGATGATAAGTTGTTTTTAAAGACCTCACAGTACTCTGAAGGTTTGTGGAAAGTCTGACTTACTCTGATATCTAAAAGCACATTTTTAGTTCTGACAGAATTGTTTACTCCCAGAAGATTTCTCAGCACTGACCAAATCTGGTGTTGAATCACTTCTACTGCGGGTTTGCAAAAATCAAGTGCAAGCGTACTTTGGTTTAAAATAATATTACATCAATTTGCAAAAAAATTAAAATCATACATCTGGGTTATTATGTCAAACAGAGACAGTAATTCACTCACCTGAAGAACAAATAATGTGATACATGTGGGTTTGGAATTGCCGTCTAGGCTCTCTCAAGTCAGATGAAACAGAAAAGGCAGATGAAGCAATTGAGCTCTTGAGCATTCCAGATATGCTCTGAATGTGCCACAGACAGGGAATGTGTGTCTATGTACACAGATCCTGACTGGAGAGGACTGGAATGAAGTGATGTACAATGGGATCCGCTCACAGGGGGGAGTGAGGTCGGGCATGTGGTCCTCTATATACTTCATTGTGCTCACTCTGTTTGGAAACTGTATCCTTTTCCCATGTTAAATGCACAGCAGTTGTAAATATAAGATGTCTGGTTCTGAAGAATGAGATGTGTTTCTTGCATTCATTCAGCTGCTTAAGTTACCTAGCTGTATTCTTCATAAGGAATTAAAATACATTTTTTAACCTGTTTTTTTTTAATTGAAAGTGAATACTCTGCACTGGGTATTATCACAAATAGAAACTACTGTTTTAAGTGATAACAGTACATTTTGCTTAAAATGGTATTATTATAGTTTGATAATAATATGAATTTCAATACACTTCAATTAAATCTTTTTATATTTGCTTGTTGCTGCTCGATAACAGTATACAGTTAATGCTTGCTGCTTTTCAATGCTAGATTCTAGTATTTCTTTGTTAATTTGAAACACCTGTTCTGTGTAACTATCTTTTTGACACTTTTAAAGACGTTTTTTCTTTTTCAGTTGTTTTCCATTCTTTCTCTGAAGAAGTCCAAAACACATCAGTTGTGTCTCCTGTGATTCTATTGTTTCTTAATTTCCATAAAGAAATTGACTTATCCCCCTGTATTGTGGTTGTCCAAATGGGGGTATGCTTTATACTATTATAATTAAAACTCCATGTTTCATCATTTGCATTTTATTAATTTTTTTGGTACAGTACAGTGGTTCTCAATCCAAGTTCTGTGCAACCATTGCGTTTGCTTCTGATTTGTGCTCCAGTTTTTAATCACAGACTGTTTGATTACAGTTTTCTATTTTAGGTTCTTAAAATTTTCTGGCCACTTTTTAGGATTTGTATGAACCCAATTTTTGAGGTTCAGAATTACCTTTATTCGAGTGTCTCAGCTAAAGACTGGATTTAAAAAGGACAAAAAGTGGGAGTGTGTCATGCATTATCATTCCCAAGTGGTGTCATAAATTGATCATCTATTTAAAGCTGTTCAGTCTGGAAATCATTAATTATTTGCAGGTTATTAATTTTCATGATGAAGAGAGGTTACATTAAGTCATTTATTTTGAAGGCATTTGAATAATATAGTTTATAATGGGTATTTTGGAACCAAGGTCTCAGTACGGAAACAGTCTAAACAAGGAAGCAGATCAGTCACAGGCACCAATTTGCACCAGTAGTTAAGAGCCCAGTTGAAATCAAAACCAACAGGTGACGAGACCCCAAAGGACCAGGATTGAGAGCCACTACTTTAGCAATGTCCCCAGTGACAGTTTGACATGGTTTTCTATGATTTTACCTGAGTTTTTCTAGTTTCCTAAGATTTTAACATTCCTTCATTGTGGATTATTGCATTTGGAAATAGGAATACTGCAATACACCTTAATACATTTGTCTAAAGAATTTACTATACTACAGGTAATACAGCAAGGTTTATTCATGGCCCATTATGGTATAGTAAAGAATAGTGCAGCTACTGGTAGGACAGCTGACGTCATAGGACATCTAGACGTTTGTTAATACCATATTGACTTCACCATAGGAAGCTTGTACAAGTGTCATAACAAAAGCTGAACTTCAGGCTAAATATTATCATTTGTTGATGCTTGTGTAGTGTATTTAGTTTTGCAAGAGGATTATAAAGCAGTCATTTCTCAGTGAAAAACTTTTTGAAGCCACAGAATTATTAAATTAAATGTTTTTACAGTATTTATTGGTTACATGATTTTATAGTGAGTACTTTTAGGAGTTTTTAGGAGTCATGTTGCAGAGTTCCTTGATGTTTCTGTGAACAGACACATTGCTGAATGTGTTCTTGGCCATCGCTGTGGACAATTTGGCCAATGCCCAGGAACTGACCAAGGTAAGAATTATTCTTTTCTTATCATTCTTATCAGATTGACAAAGTAAGCAAATAAGCTTCAATAGCATGGCAAGGTATCTTTCCTACTCCCATAAAAATGTCTCCTGTTTAATAGGTGATCAGAAAGACTCTAAATGAGTCTCAAAGTAGTACTGTAAATGTCTTGACGTGTGTGATTTGGTGTTATGGTGATGTGAAGAATGAGGGAGGTACAGTATAGAGATCACAAACAGATTATTTTTAAAGCATGGAGATGGTAACCTAGAGCTTAGACGGTGCTGGTTGAAATCAAAATCACAAAATACAGTAAATACAGGAGGCTTATAACTACCTATCCATCATGTCATTTAACTGGATACTTGTACTAAGCAGGTCTGATTGCTGTTCTTTGGTATTGAAACATCAGGCTGTCTTGAATCACTGCTTTTTGTAGTGCCTTACTTTGGCCATGCAAGGAACCTAATAGAAGAGAATTCCAATAGCCCATATATACTGTATATATTTGCTATACACACAGATTTGAATAGTGCAAGTAAATGTGTTCTTCCAGCATATGTACAGTAAATCATGTTTGTTCTGCTTGGTTCTTTCTCTCATGATATATCCCAGTGAGGGCAATGTTCCAAGAGCCTACCCTGAAGAGCAAAGTGGAAGGGAAAGTCATTTTTGATAGAAACTGGTTCATTGTGTTCAACTGGTTTTCTTCATCAGGATGAAGAAGAGGAAGAGGAGGCCTTCAATCAAAAGCATGCCCTGCAGAAAGCAAAGGAAGTCAGCCCCATGTCCGCCCCGTACCTCATGGCAGCAGAGTGAGTTATCTCTCGATGCCTGTCTTTGCCTGATGTTTGTTGATATGCTCTTTCTGGATCCCACAGTACCATCACCTCCCACCATTTACCAGAAGAATCCCTTTGCCTGGATGCTGGGATCTAGGCAGCTCAGGGGACCTCCTCTGTTCTCCTTAATCAATTGAAGAAGTTTGCCATAGCTCAGGCCTATAACTAACAAGGCACTCTTTTCTGCAAGGGGTACATCATACTTTACATGGAGCTGTCTCTATGAGCATTAATGAGATTGTTTTGTAATGTTAATTGCTTTTTACCTTGCTAGTATTCATGCTAATTACATTTTTGAAAGTTAAGTTAAATTTAAAAATAAATCTATTATGCATATAGCAACATGCAAGTGGAGGACTGAATTCAACTGAGGTTTCTCTATAAGCCCTTTATCGAGAACAGTAACAATAATCTCACAGCATTAAGAAATTCTTAATTTCTGTAAAACTTAAGAAAAACAGCAAAATTCCCAGTTTGGTTAAACTAGCACACTTTTCAGCTTGGATTGTTCTTGAGAAGAACTTTGATGAGAAATGGAAACCAAATTGTTTCAGGCAGATGAAATAAGGCAGTGTTAACAAGTCGAGATTTAGGAATTGTGAGTTTAGGGTATGGTTTAAAGGTCATTTTATGAAACCCTGTGGAACAAACCCTCACCCTTCCCTCCTTTCTAATTCCTCTAACACATCCCCCCAAACAGGGATGCCCAAACATTTTTTTGAACTGGCCTGGCTTCTTTTCAGCAGAAATTAGAAGGCAGGAACTCAAATATGTTTAGTATGGCTTAACAGGATCCTTGTCTGTATTTGTTGTTCTTTGGATCAAAAGTATACAGAAAGATATGATGGACATGAATCGGAGGGATGAATGTGTAGTTTTGAAAATCTGCTGCTGTACTTAGAGTCAGAAAGGGCTTAAAGTCTGTCATCTTTATTTTTATTTTTAAAATGGCTTTTCTTCTGGTAGATCGGTTTCAAACAAAATGCAAATACTTAACTCAAGAGGCAGTGCATCTTCACTTTTTTGTGTTTATCCTGTATAATTTACTCTGAACAGCTTTAAAATTGACATGTCTCCATGGCTACCGGCAGACTTCCCAGTGCCTTGCTGGAGAAAGAATCTAACTGGTAGTCATAGAGACTGTTTCCCAGGTGCCAGCAGGAAATGGGAAATTGAAGACAAGCTGGGATTTCTGAAAGTTAACATTCTATATGCTTCAGTTAGAAAACAAATTTTTGGTCTGTATAACAACGCAAGTATTACGTAGTTGTTATCCATGTTTCAAAAGCAACCATCCTTTTGCAATAGATCCATAAAGGATCAATCAAATGTTACACCTACCTAGTCATACACGTCACTGTATGGAAACACATTTATTTATCTATGGTACTATAAGTTGATTAAAAACATCCAGCCATGGTTGTGCTGTCCTAAAAATAGTAGGTTAAAAAAACCTGTAAACCTCAAACCTGTAAATAAAATGGAGGAAGGCAAAGAAGACCAAAAGCATAGCGCACAGTAACTTAGTTTTGACAGAGTTTTATCTAGTAAAATTGTACAAGTGCCTCTGCTTTGATCACAGAAATTTGTACCAACCCTTAGCCATCGCTTTGCTGTCATTGCATTAACTTCCTGCTCTAGCTTCATAGATTAATATAAGATCATTCTCAGACTCATCCATCAGCTCAGCAGGCTCTTGGGGCTTGCTTGGATAAAGATTGGCAGGCATTCTCCGTGTATTTTAGTCAATGGCAGATGTCATTCAACAGTCCTCATCGAGTCCTCATACATAATCCCCATCAGCCACTGATCCTGGTAAACAAGTTGAAATCTGTTTGGAAAGAATAGGGCACATGGCAGAGGTCAAGAGCTGACAACTGTTCTATACCATTATTGGAAGCCAGTTCATTACTGGGCCATAGAGAAAGGGACAATTTAGTGTCCCTAGTCAAGCCCAGCCTGCATGTCTTTGGCAAGGTCGGAGGAAACCGAGACCAAGACCCCGAAGCTGTATGACCTTTGATTAATTTTTAGATTAAAAGCACAAACTTAAATAAATATTGCAGACTACCTGAAAAAATAATCTTAATATGAGGTCATTTGGTCTTAAAGTGACATCTAAATTTTCATTGTATATTTTATCCAGAGAATATTTTTCTGGTGAATGTATTTACTGTACTTTGTGAATGAACTGTAGTTTGGGCATCCCTGCTGTCACTAACTTGAATTTTCCTGAGAGATCCTACAAGAAATGTTCTTACAAAAAACAACTGGTCAGCACTGATGCTCTCAGCTGTCCTCTGGCTCCATTGAAAGTGTTTTAAGGCACCGCGTCTGTCTTTTTGTCTTCTGAGCAGCACAGTACAGTACAGGCGACTTCTGCTTTCATATGCTCAAATGGGAGATGCAGCTAAAACTGCACAGCACTTCTGATGGCCTTGGCTTCCTAAAGGGTGCTCTTCAGAAAAAGTTTACCATGATATACTGTACAATGCAAAAAATGAAGGAAAAAATGCAATAGAAGCATGGTGGAGCATGGGCTAGCATGGTCAGATAGTCTCGCACGCTGAAAACCTGAAAGTCTGGATATACAGTACCACATGTAACCATTGCATGAGCATGGTGAACTGCAAAATAACTGAAAATGTATCAGGGTAAACTTTAAAGTACTTCCTCAATGCTTATATGTAGCTTTAATAATGAAATTCTGTGACTATTCAATTATGAGTGAGAATGAAATTGTATCATGTGATAGCTATCCACTGGACTGTAACTTACGCTATATTTCTGTCTTAGCTAATGTACTGTATCTGAAAAAGCAGGGTGGCTTGTGGTAAACAAGATGATGAAGATTTTTGACACATTAAGTGTGCTCCATAGTTTTAAGGTCTCAGCACTAGCCTTGGTTGACCTTGCAATATTTAATATTAACACACCTGCAACTAGCTAGACAGGTTGTCCATGATCCCAACCACATGCATTTAAGGTTCTTGTAGGAAACTCCTGCAGGAGATTTAGTTATCCACCTTGTTCATGTGAAGCCCATGTCCACTCTGCAGCATTGCACAGTTTCTACTGTAAAATCTGTAGAATCTGTGATTTTTAACTTAACCTACTTATTATTGGCCATACAAAAACAACTTTACTTACTATAACTTAATATCTCTCTGACTCTGATATCTCTTAGAAAAGAAGGCTGTGGTACATGATGGTCTAAGCCAAGAGAAGAGTGCACATGTAGCATGGTGAAAAATAAAACTAAAATCGCATGTTAAAGCACAGAGAAGACAAAGTGCAGCATGTCTGAAACCATGATTTACCCTGATAAATCACAGTGCATGAAAGTGACCAGCATGAACAAAATACGTATGTTCCCTTGTAAACATGAATCTGTAAATTACCACAGCTCTTTATAAGGGATATTGGCTGGTGCTTTATGTTTGGATAATGGGCATCACCTACATTTGTTTTATCCCTGTTCCATATCTGACAGTCTAACATTCCAAAAGCATTTTAGATTAAGATTTCATGTCTGTATAACTATATAGATTTTATATGTTGCAACTATTGATGTTATATCTTTTGTTCTGATCTGATATTGCTTCCATCTTGTTGTCATGTGGCTCTTTGCCTTCCCAGTGATACAGACCAATGTGTTTTAACATACTTATAGTCCTTACAGTATATCGTCTAAAACATTATAGCAATAGGACTATACTTTAAATAGCTTTAGTCTTACATAGAATGTAACCTTAACCAAAGCGCAGGCTGTAAAGATGGAAGAACTTTGTAAACAAAACAAAAAAATCCCCAATATTTCAGAATTTTAACTATTTTAATATAAAATATTTGACATTTTTAAAGCTTCTGGTTTTTAGAGCTTTCTCAATAGATTTTCTGCCGTGTTTAGACCTCATGTGATACACTACCTGTTTAAGATATTTGTGTATCCTAAATAAAAATGCCAGTAGAAAAATGTGTTCAATTCATGGGTGTTTACTCCCGAAGAACTATAATATCTTGTTAACCATAGTCTTTCACTTGTAAGCTAGTAATAACTGTAATAACTGTTAAGGTATTATTAAAGCATTAAATGTTATTTTTTCTTTGTAACTACAAAACAAACGTTGGCTTTTATGAAACAAACAACAAAACATATCATTAAGGCCTGAAGAATTAGAGGCCCTTAATCCAGTAAATCTTTGTGAGTGGATAGCACACTCCATGGCCCTCGACTATGGCCTAAGTTTTAGAAAGAAAGGTTGTTTCCTTTTGGACTGTGTCACTGGGGTTGTTTTGTCTCTGTTCACAACAACACTAATGTCTTGTTTTCAACCAATCGCTCATTGATTACACGGACCACACAAGAGTGCAAGTACGAGTAAGTAATGCTGTATGTTCATTTTAATTACAACACAGCCTGCCTGATTTTCTTAACTCGGTAAATGTCTTTTCTTTTCTCTCTTTTTTTAATTATCTAAACTTTAAACCTGTATTTGTATCCCCCCACAGCTTCTGTTACAGTGCTTTCTGCATTTCTCCGTTTTAACTATTATTTTTGTTATGTTTAACTTGCATTTTGATGTGTTTCTTTAATACTTTTCTCTAGCATTTTTTTTGTTAGATGGGTATTCTTTTAACATGATTTACCAAGCTTTGAAAATCAGAACTGTAAATCAGTTTTCAGGATTTTTGTTTTTTCCACTCCAGTACATTTCTTTCTGTACTAGACAATAGAAATGCATACATGTATAAGGTGCCATACACTAAGAACATCTACAACTAAATATGTTAAAATCTATATTTATTCATATAACAGCACTAACAGTGGATTATGTTTCAAACATTTTGTACTGGACCATAAACAAAACACTTGAAAACAGGTCTTAGAGTGTATTACTTGTGTTTTATGACGTTGAAAATAATTAGAATAAATGATGTCTTGTACTGATTCTCTCCTGCTGTTATTAACTTCAATTTTATTCCCATTGTTCCACCAGGAGAAAAAGGCCCTTTCTGTATAGGAAAAGAGCAATCCACAGAAGTAGACACACCTTTAAGATCGAGGCCGTTGGGAATCTAGAAGCTCTGCCCGACGCCCAGCCGCTGAATGCCCCTAACTATTTTATGTCCAGGAGAGAAAGGAGAAGGAGAATGACCATGTCAGTATGGGAGCAGAGAACCAGTCAGCTGAGGAGGCGAAGGCAGATGTCTAGCCGGGAGATTCTTTTCAGCAATCCCGGTGAAGATCTGGAGAGGTCAGCCAGCTGCCCAAGACATAGAAAACCCATAGCCACAGACAGCTTGAGACGGATCCCTGAACCCCCTATCCCTGAGCCGGAACCCCTTCCAGGCCCCGAGGAGAAGCTTGGAATCACTAACCACTGCCAGCCCCCCAAGGAAGGCCGACAGAGCCCCAGAGCCAATGGAGAGAGGAGCCATCGTTCGACCCGCCGGAACCGCATGGCGCTAGGAGAGGGGGCAGCCACGGAAGAGGGGGCGAGGGCTCGCAGGAGCAGCAGGCACCGGCACCGAGAGCGAATGGAAGGGAAGGGCAAGGACTCGCCCCACAGCGAGGGCAGCCGTTCCGTCAGTCGGGAGAGGAGGCTGGAGGAGCCGGAACGAGATTTGGGAGAGGCAAAGAATGGGGGGAATGGCAAAATAGAGTGTGAGGGCGAGCAAAGGTAAGGAAAGCAAATTGACTGCATATACAGGTACTGTACATACTGTAAAGTATATATTCTGTTATTCTTCCAAAGTACACCTTAAGATATAGAGGCTAGACAATGTGCCTTGAAGTGAACTGCATGGCACAAAAAGCATGTGCACTGCAATTGGAAAGCTAACAAATTATAATACTTTACTATATTAAATGCAGAGTACAAGACGGCTATGTCAATTAGCAAACATAACTTCAGCTCTCTTTCAATTCAATTTCCTGTATCCCAGTAGGTTAAATGAAACCACCCCTGAGCCGACCGAAACAAAGCCTGTGACAAACTCGCCCAAAATGGAGGAACAAGATGTTAATGAGGTCTTGAAGAGTGACAACCCCCCTCTCCAGCCCTCTAAAGACACCACAATGAAACCTGAGACTGGTGGGGAAGTCCCCCCCGACACCGTGGGAATGAGCGAATCTGAAAATAATCCTGCCTTGTTGAACCAAGACAAGCCTTCACTAAATGCCAGCATTGTCATTGAAGTGACCGGCGTCCAGTCCCCATTGGAGCTGACTCCTATAGCAGGTATAGACAAACTCAAGCTAGAGGTGTGACTGAGCTGACTTCTAAAATATATAGTGGAAATGTGAGTGAGTTTAATCAATCTGATGACTGTGCCATCACAGTGTCCACATCAGCCATTTTGTTGGTGAAGCAGTTGGTGATCATAGACTGTGGGAAATCATACTACCATTTGTTAGTAAAAATAATAAACGTAGCAGTTAACAGGCTCAATGCACCACTTGATATTTTAAAACTAGGATTATCTTAGTCAATTAGAATGCCTGCAAAAAATTGCTTTTGTTATTTGTATTATTGTTTTCACTAGCCATGGTTCCCTGATTTTGAAGAAGCAGTTAGAAAATTAAAGAATGAATGGTCAGATTTCTTCAAAACGTATCTATATTGTAGAAACACAGCAGGAGGGGAGCAAATTGGAGGATTTTTCTCCCCACTATGTCCCCCAGAGGCCTGTGGAGGATGATCAGCTTCACACCTGCACCTGATCAGTGTGACACCTTATGAACCTTATGGTTCTGCAACCTAAGCAAGGGAACAGAACCTTAGAAGCACAGCCAGGCAGAATTAAAGGACTTGAGTTTTTTCTCGAGGACTTCTTTTTCTTTCAATTGCTGTGGCAATTTCTGTAACCATGCTACACAATGACTGCTCAAGCTGTTGCCCACATCCTCCACCATATGCAACACCACATCGGGTAGAGTAGTGTCATGGGTAATTTTACTTAGGCTGCATCTCAGTAAACAAACACCCCAAACCAGTCATATAGTGCTTGTATTTGCAGTGTAGAACATAACCAAACATATTAAAAACAATTCTTAGATCCTTCTTTGAAGCTCTGACTCATCTTCTTGGAGTCCCTAACTATTAACAAGGCCACTGAGCTAATTTTAAGTTTTACCAAAACACTGAAAAGATAAACACACACACCTCTGCCTGGTCAGTTGCTTGTTCTCTTCCAGCTCTTGATCATGTTCTCAGTCATACTTCTCAGACTCTCTGGATTTCTCCTGTAGTCTAGATGCACCCTTCAAGGTCCCCCACTCTGTGACAGGTCCCAGAATGTGTAGAGTCTACTTCCTCCCATGAATTTCAGCAGTTCCTGGGTCTACTAGCTCTCCAAGCAAATAGCAGTTACATACAAATATACTCTAGACCCACAAGGAAGGCAGTAAATAAGACAGTAAAAATATTTAAGTTTCACAAGTCTTTGTCTGAGCCGTTATCTACAGCAGAGGACATGATGAGTTCTTTCATACTGTAGTAAAACAAGCATCCTTGGAAAGTAGACAACACCAAGAAGAAAAACATAAAGGCTGAAATTCAACACTGGCTGGTGCCTTGGTTTGATCCATGGCGGGAACCCATACAGAACTGTGCCAGTGGTGTAGAAATGTTTGTGCAACCTGAACAGTTCTTTTCTGTGTGGAGACTCATACTAGTTTTATAGAGGCCTTATACCAGCAGAAGGGGATTTGCAGAAAATCACTCAGTTGTTCCAAAAATAAGAGTTCAGAATGAAAAATGTTCTAGTAATGCCAAAACTATTCTAGACATCATGGAGATCATGGAGATATGATAAGCACTGAGTTGGAAAGTGAACAGTTTTGATTTCAAGATAAAAAATATTCAGCTACAAGACTGGCACCTACAGTACAATATATAACCGAAAAAAATAAATGTATCTGATAGAATGGCAGAGGCAATCCAAATTACATTTACCAAAAGAGGGATTCCTCCAGAAAAAGTCTGGACATGGCAGTTCTTCTGACCTCAAGCAATTCCCTCTCCACTCAGAAAATAGTGCATCAGTTTATGTCACTGGGCTTCTTCTGATACAATCCTGTATGTTTGTGGTTAAGGTAGTTAAAGCTACACAGAGCCAGTATGGTGCTTGTAGGGAGAGAGATTCAGGACAGTGGGCAGCTTATCCCCTGTTTGAGTCTTTTTGTGCTTGTTCAGCCCACATTGAGAACTCTTCAGCCACTGAGAGCCCTCCATTACTCACTCTCTAAGTCCCACGCTAACCTGCAGGCTTACAAGAGCCCTGTCATAAACTGAGTTTTTTCAGAGGAGTACTGCGGATTTTCAAGAGTTTGTTGTGTTTTTTTTTTCTAGTTCAGGCTTTTGTTTTGTTAAAAATAGGGATAAAGCACCCTTTGGAATATGAGTTAGCAACCGCTTGTCTGCCTATTTCAAATACTAGGAGAAGTTAATTTGTTGGGTTAAAAGCTGTCCAGTTGGTTCTAATATGATCTTAGCAATAATGTATTAAAATTAAATGCTTACTCCAGACATAATTTAAATAATCCTGTAAATCCCCTAAAAATAAATTGCTGAATGAAATGTACATTTACTGTATACCGTAGGTAGTCATTTTTATTATTCATACTAATACATTTTATTAATAATAAAATGTGCTTTATCTTTAGCCAGAACTACAAAGAAAACAGACACAACCTACTGTATAAGGGTCGGTATGGAATTAATCATGCTGATTTCCTAATTCAAATATTTTGTTTCTTAATATATACATTTCAATTTAAATAATTCCTAGATTCACAAATAAATCCTACATTTTAGAAATTGGTAGTTTCCTTTTTTTTTACTTTACAGTTTTGTTCAGCATAATACTAAGGTTAGTAATTATCAGAATTAAAAATACAAATGCATGCTCTGTGATAGTTGTTTTTATGTACTGTATACAGTATTTTAATTTTTTATTAAAATTACTGGATAATTTGTTATTTCAAAAAGACCAATTAGCTTTTCTAATTAACTTTTTAAATGTAATGTTCCTCTCACACAGGAAATGTATTTTCAGTATGTGTAAATAGTGGAGGCTGCCACAAAGTAAATTAAAGTGACAAACAGCATTTCCTTGAAATTATAAAATCAAAGCAAGCATATTCAGTATAGGAACTCTCCAACTTAAGCAACTACTACATTCCAGATAACCTTAATAGGCCAAAATGTCCATAAGTTCTATAAAAATTGTTTGCACATTATTATTACACTACTGTAATAATACATAATTACACTATTACTGTATCATCATTACAGTACACCGTACTGTAAAAGTGTAAAATTGTAGTGTTGCATTGTAATTGTATGGTGCTTGTTCATAGTACTAACACCTTTAACTTCAGTTGAACACTATTCAGCTGAGACTAAACTCCTTGCAAACACAGAGAGGTGCTTATTCCAGACAGAGCACATGTAATAGAAGATACACCACTGAGGAAATGTGGAATAAGACTTAGGCTACAAGAATGTTTTTATGTGAAATGGATTTTACATACATTAGTGAATATGCAGCCAAAATAAAATATTAAATTTGTAATTTTGCTTTTATTGGTTGAAATGGTGTTTTACAAAACAATGTAGTTCATTGATTAAAATTGCAAATATCTGTAAAGTAGCTTTCATGCATGGTGGATTTAAAATCCACTAATGAAAACTGATGTCTTCTACAGAAATACTGTATATTTATCCCTTTCAGATCACGTTATTTCTCCATCTGAACTGCTTTCTATATATTCCCTTTGCACGCGTTGGAAATGTTTCATTAGGAGACAATTGTGGTATTACTCATTCAGTATGTACTGTATAGAGATGTATTCTGCACATAACAGTCACAATCTGGAATACCATTATCTTACAATCACTGAAAATTACAGCATTATTTCAAAGCAGTTGAGAGGGATAAGGCACGAAAGTGACAAAAGTACACTACATAGAAGGAGGAATAAAGGACAACCTTCAGCATCTGTGATGTTACTGTCCTATGTTTCAATTATTGTTTAAGGCTTCTTAAATACAAACAAACAGTACATGACTGATCCTTTTAGAGCAGAGATAACATACCCTTCTTAACTGTTATTTTCCCCTGCCTTTCTTAAACTGTACATCGATGAGGTTAGGGACAGTAAAGATGGGCTGTTACCCACTGCAAATATAGCTTATTTCAGTTATTATACAATTATACAGCTATTATACAATTTAGTTTACATCTATAAGTCAGTGATCCCTGTGACTATGACTAGGATGCCAGCGAGATTAAGTTGTGGTCAGTCACGTACAGTAGGAGCTGCAGGACTCACAGTGGGAAGAAAGGACACACGGTTCTGACAGTACGTGCTTTTTGAGGAAAGCATGTACAAATTACTACAAAGACTGCAGTGGTAAAGCCAGTAATTAATTATTGTGACACTTGGTGACCCCAGTTGAGAGTTATAAAAATTGGTTTCAGTTCATATTCAAGGATATCGCTTTGCAATCAGATATAAAAGAGGAAAAAATTAAATACACTAAATACATTTTCAACAATGTTTTCCTTCAGTGCAAAATTTGCTCCACATTTCCTGTGAAATCTGAAAGAAATTCCATGTATAATTGAAATTTGAATTGCATTTGCAGATTGGGATGTTTACATTTTCACAAAAGACTTTTAGTAAAACATGATCAAATTTAGCTCTGGAGAAAACAGTTGTTTTTTTTCACCTGGTATGGTTTTGAAATTAATTACTGTTATGTTAAGTGTAACACCTGGATGGTGTAGAGAAGATACAGTACTGAAACATTTTCTTGGAATTTAAGGTCTCAGGGATATTTCCAAGGGCTACCAGCTGGAAACAAGTTCCAGCCTGAGTGCTCCTTGGACTGGGGTTGTCATGGTAACTGTGCTGTGTTCACCATTTCAGCCAACAGTAAAGATGTTGAAGCAGCAAAGACTGAGAAAGAAGAGGACGGCTGTAGTGGTCCAAAGCCAGCAAACCCTGACAGCATGTTCATCTTCAAAGCTTCCAACCCGTAAGGCTATGCTCACACACTCTTATTTTCCTGACTGTATCATCTGGTCCCACAGCTGCATCTCAGTATTCTGCTTCTCTGCCCTCCTTAGTAGTTGTGCTTATTACGTCAACAGATAAATAAAAATATAGTCTTGGTAACAAGATCTAACTCTCCTGTGACTTTCCTGTCACAGTCATTTTACTCTTCTTTTCTCTCTCCATGATATCTGTTTGCATGCCAGTGTAATGTGAGAACCGAGGCAAATGGCACAACACAAAATGCTGAATTAAATGTTGAATTCAAGGAGCAGCAGTCATTTTTTCTCACGTCAATTAAAAGTTGGTGTTTACTGCTCACTTTTTTCCCACACTCTATGCTTAGTTATTTAAACTAAGCTAAAACTTTTTTTTTCTGAGCCACATTGTTTAATTCTCTAAAGGGCTGAACATCACTGTATCTTACAACTTGTTCCTGACTATCCTTTGTGTAAAGAACTTCATCCTATTCTCAGTTTTAACAGCACTTCCACATAGTTTCTACTCATCACCTCTCTGTTTTGTGTTTTACTGCTAATCCTGAAAACACTTGTTTGGCTTTGTTAACACCTTTGAGGATTTTGAATATGTAAATTGCATAAACCATGTGATACATCCCCATTTCAGGTAGAGTGCTTAAATCTTTGCACATTAACAAAATGTCACTTCAACACAGGTGTAAATAGGAGTCAGGAAGCGTTAACACTTAAACAACAGAACAAGGCAAAAGCCTAGCTCTTCTTTTGGTTCTAGCAAGGCTACAGCTATAACTGGGCAACTACAGTAAGCTGCTTACCAGCTCCAACACACAATCTCTTGCTCTTTTTTTTACATTTTTTAATGTTTTTTATGCTCATGGTCATCAGATGCTCCTCAGTTGTGCACAATCAGTTGTCTTTCCCCAGTTAATCAAGTGACAAAGGGCAGGAGCTCATTCCAGTTGCAGTGTGGTTAAGACTCTCAATGCCATAAACAAGAACATTATTGATGAAAACTAAACAGCTATATTGAAAGTCTTCAGTGTTTGTTGATCTTCCAGACAGGGTGGAGAACATGATAAACAGAATGTTAGGATATATAGGAAATCAGTCCAGAGATGATGCATTCTCTTCTCTTAAAGACATCCTGCAATGAAAAGCTAAAGGAATTGAATCCCTTTAGTCTTGAATAGACTATTTGTAGACCTGATTTATTGTAGGTATACAAAATCAAGATATTAGATTCTACACTGAGCAGAAATCAGAGGAGATGAACAGAAATGAAGTAAATTGGAAATGAGTGAAGCACATTTATAAAATTGAGAATAGAATGCAATTCTTTATACAAGGGGTTGAGAGCTGAATCACATCCATGTACCAGCCAGGCAGTCAAGGCTGAAACCCTGGCTTCTTGCACAAAGTGGATGAGATCCTCTATTGAATTACCACCAACAACCAAACAAGATGCATTTACACCATGTACTGTACCATTAGATGATAACAAGAAAGCATCTTTGAATATTTTTATACAGTATACAGTACTGTCCATAAAATTTCTATATAAAGAAAGTGAAATCTACAGGAGATAACTGCTACACCCTTTCTACTGATTTCCATAGTTTTTCATTTAATTCAATTTTAAATTCATTTTTAACTTTTTTAGGTTTGTTATCCCTTGGGGAACATTTGTTCTTCAGCAGAGTTCAACACAAACAGACAAATACCACCAACAAAGAATACAGTTGGCCCATCTTTGTAAAATTGATCTGTTTTCCTTCTGCCTCTGAGTATCAACTCCTAACGCAGCCTTTTCCTTTGTTTCTTCCTTTTCTCCAAAGAATAAGAAAAGCCTGTCACTATGTTGTGAACCTGCGGTATTTTGAGATGTGCATCCTGTTAGTAATCGCAGCAAGCAGCATTGCTCTGGCTGCAGAAGACCCTGTCTCTACCAACTCCGAATGGAACAAAGTGAGGATTTTAATTTTCTTATTTTCTATTTTTGGTTAGTTTTGGGGTGTGTGCACTGGACTTCTTTCTTCTGCTTTTGAAGTGAAAATGTGTAGGTATTGTCACGGTTGCCGAATCCGACTACCGTGGAGTGTGTAGTTTAAGACCCTATGCAGGGCGCTATAATCCGGAAGTGACTGGAGAAGGATATCAGGGAAGACATGGTGAGGAGTGGATGGGATGACAGACAGGGGGGCGGTGAAGACAGTGATCAGGTGCATGGGGGGAACTCAGGAGAACGAGTCCGAACAAGGGAAGTCCAATAAGGGAAAACAGGATGCGGTCCAGTCATCAGAAGATCCATCCACTAGAAAAATAGTTAAAAACAGGAACTAGGGAACGGGGACTTGGAACCAGGAACTGGAACACAGAAGTTGAAACTATAACGAGACCAGGCGCTCTGTGCCCCGGACTCAGATGGTTCGGACGCCGTGTTGAAACCTGTGCCGTCGGGCCACTCCTGGACCTGCTGGTAGGCAGGCTTCTGGGTGTCCGTCTTCTAATGCTGAGCCCTGAACACCGGAAAGTCCAGGCTTAAATAATAAGAGGGGAAGGGGACAGGTGCACGTAGTGACAATAAATAATACAACGTGGGAGCACCCTCTAAAGGAGGGATGACGATTGTGACAGGTATATCTTATTTAGAAATTGGGACAGTAAATACAGTATTTCATAGCTACTAGAAATCAACCAATCTGAACAAACAGCTATATATACACACAGATTTAAAGAATACAATATATAACTTAAATAATACATTTATTTAACATGTAAAAATCAATTCAGGAGTATGTATATACAGTATGAATTACTATACCGTGATTGGATAGGCTCTTCCATCACTCAGGTATTGCACTGATTATACAGGGTGGTTAAATCCACGGACTCTATTACTCAGGTTAGTGTAGTAAAACTAATTACTAAAACATCAATATTGACAACCACGTTAATGAATTTTAAATATGTAAATGTTTAATTTCTTTCCTGAAGTAATCTTTTATCTGAAAATTTTAGTGTAAAATTATGAAAATTGAATGGATACTCATCAGAATTGGGAACACTTGGCCAGGCAGAATGCTTGTTCTGGTGGGTTTTATTAGTCCAGCGAAGAGGGAGAACTTGTTCAGTTCTCATCCGTGTACTCTGTGGCACAGGAAGCAGAAAAAGTTCTGCGGCTAGTATCACAGTGATGTGGGCTATGCACATGATCTTAGGGCTTGAAAACCAGCCAAAAGTGAGACTTGGAGAAACTTAGGAAATTCACTCACCTGTGTTCTGTAGCTTCTATACTGAATAATCAGCAAAATTAGGCAAAATTGCAATTGGGAGCTTATCACAAGACTTATCTTTTAATAGAATAATTCATGAGCCAAGTTCTGGTTTTCGCTTGATATCTCAGCAGATAATTTCAGTTCAGCTTGTGTGCAGTTGTGGTCACAGTCACACGATTAGCTCACTGTCAAGTTGCCGAGGTGTTTTGGTTGGGCATCACAAAATGCTGTACACAGACTTAAGATACCTTGTCACAGGTGGTGACTGGTTGTGACATCATCAAGTGTAGTGGCACCTCCATGTGTCATGTTTCTCATTGCTGGATCTCTCTGGTCCTGTCAGTGGATTTACTGGCGAACTCTAGCAGTCCAGAAGTGCCTGCCTATTTGAGCTGCAGACTTAGAGTCATCTACAGTATGTGAGCGTTTCATCACTGGAGACCTTATGGTGGCCTGATTTATGTTGGGTGCTTTTGTGAGTAAAATCATCCTGCTTATCATAGTCCTATCTCAACAATAATCTTAAAAAGCTGAGCCAGCTAGGATGCTTTCCTAGCTGAGAAAGGTAATTGTTATAATTTTGACACTTAGTCCAAAGCATTGCCACTATGCCTGTTTTTAAGGTTTTTTTTTACTTCTAGTTCTACTATATTCCAATCAAGCTTTTGAAGTTAACCCTCAGTAAAACGATTTTCTAGACTTAGAAAATGGTGAATGAATCATACAATTCAAAAGTACAGTTTCAATGCAAGTACAAAGCAAGCAAGTGAAAAATTAATTGTACCGTAATACTTAGTCAGTGAAAGCTTTCCAATGAATGATACATTTTTGACTTGATCAATTACCTTAAGCACTAATAAATCCCCAGGACAGGATGTAATATCAAGAATGTGTTCAGGCATAGAACATAAGAACATAAGACTGATACACATGGATGGAAGCTGGACCAAAACAAATGAACATATAAAAAATAATAAACCTGAATTAAATAGTCTGTACTGTCTTCAAAGAGTTCAACATGCCAACAGGCCAAAAAAAAACTGGACATTTCCAGGCCAGTCTTATACATGTTATAATTGTCTATGTTATACACAGAAACATTCTATTTTGGCAGATGATGTCCCTAAAGAATATGATAAAACATTGATTAGAAACAAACCCAGTCCTTTGTGACTTACATTTGACCCTAAGATGCAAATGGAAGAAATATAAGAAATATATCACAAATCAGCCTACCTTTTGGATCTCTTGAGTCCCCTCTTGCCTGTACCTGAGGTGTTTTTTTTTTCTAATAATACGCAGAGTGGCTTTTTCCATACCAAATTAATTAGTTTGAATTTACAGTATGATGATCATGAAATGCAAAGATAAACTCACACTTGTCCAGAAACAGAATCACCATGAGATAGAGGAAAAGTATCTTGATGTAAAGCTTCCAATATACAGTATTAACCCCTTACATCTTTTCCTAATGTAAAAAGACAGTTAGAAGCTCAATTTCTCACATGGTTTTGTTATTTGCCACAAGTGGCTTGTCTAATAAATTTCACAGGAGATATGGCTAGTACTACTTGAGTAGAGTATACAGTAACCTTCTCTGTAATGTCTGTAAAAGTCTTAGCCCATGTGGATTCTTAAGTAAAACACAAGAGAAAGCTGTTGAATAGAGATGATTTATTGTTACTGCTGTTACATGAACAAAGTAGAACATGAAAAACATATTGTCAAAGTCATCTGTGTTTTTTCCAAGTTTTATTATGTTTTCTGGGCTTTAGTGTTGTAAGCACAAGGGAATTATCAGATTGATGCTTCATGAAGGGTAGAATGTGTTTCAGTTATGCATAAGCACTTCAACTCCTTTGCTATTAATCAAATTTTCCTCATTAGAGAAAATGTGTAATTAAACACGGACAACCAAGTGCAATAGATACATTGATCCAGTGGTGGCTGAGTGAAAGTGCTAGTTTCCCTGGTGAAATTCAGGTAGAATATGACCTTCAGCTATCTTTTCTGCATAAATAGCACTGCGTGAATGCCTACTGTAATTGCCCTGGATTTTTTAAACTGATCAGCTGTGCATTCTGAGGGCTTGTGTCATAGAATTGTATTTTCTGTTGAAACTATTTGTCACTTTAATGACTTTGCGGATGTTACCTACAGTACATGAGGTCTCACATATTGTGTGGTATCATTACTCTTATGGTCCAGCCATACCTATAAAGACCTGGTACAAAGCAATCATACAATGGATCCAACAAGTAATGCAATTTAAAATGCAGGAAAATTGGAATAAGGAAAGTACAGTATATTCAACTTTATTATTAAAATGACAGAAATGCAAAACGTATATGTTAAAATCAATGCATTTTTTATTGTTTTAAAGCAATTATCGAATAAATGTCACCTCAAACATTGAGTTAATACTTAGAATTTGGTGGGTATTGCCACTGTTTTATTACAGTCTTTCACACTGTAATGTTCTTTATGTACATTATATAGTAGTATATAATATTGACACCTAACAAATGCTCCAAAGCCAAAACTTTGTGTTTCTTTTCTTCTCTTTTTTAGCATGGAATGAACCTTTACTTGTTCCTATAATATATTCATACAGTATATACTGTACAACAAAAATTACATATGCAGTGAATTATAAAATTCAGTGGTAATACTGCTTAAAAAAGCTTTAGTAATACTTCAGTAACGAGTGCATCTCATTATCCATTACAAACAATTTAATGCCCATCAGGGAAGGTGTAAGGAGGTACAGTATAAAGCAGTAATAAAAAAAATGAAATATTCTATATTCTATATTAGTATTGTATTCTATATTCTATATTAGCACTTTATTCTATACAGTTTGAAGTTTTTATGTTTTCACATCCTGATAGAAACCCAGTCTAATACACTCAAGTAGAAATATAAAAAATCTTAATCTAGAAAGAGATTAATTTTAAGTAGAAAAATGTGAATTGTTCTGCTACTGTATGTTATATGCTGTATGTATATCATATGTATATATTGGCCATATAGTGAATGATTTACCATACATTATCCCTTTACATAATTTAATATGAATTTATTAATTCCATGTAATTATTGTGGAGATTAATGTGCTGTAATTGTAAACCCTATTAAAATCCAATACTGATTTTTTCACAATACTATGGATAATAACTCAGTTCCTTAATTTATTATCACAATATCACAGTGCAATTACATATCAAAGAATGGTAATAAAATTGGTGTGGTTTTGCAGTTTTATTAAACTTGTCTTTAAAAGAAGCTAAAACTTAAAACTTTTTTAAAACATTTTTTTAAAACATTGCATGTCTTAGTTTTGTTCTAATTCAAATACAGCCATGTGTGTGCCTATGTTTTTATGCTCACATTTGTTGTAGGTTCTACGTTACTTTGACTATGTCTTCACCGGAGTCTTCACATTTGAGATGATTATAAAGGTGAGCCTTTCCTGTTTCTTTCACCATCTGATCACAACTAATGTTACAATATACAGTATGTGTATAACTTTGGCACTATTGTAGATAAGGCTATTTAACTACTTTTCTTCATTGTATATTTACATGTTCAAAATAAATCTACTACTATTACAGTACAGTACTTGGGGAAGTTGAATCTGCAGTATAAAATAAAGCTGATAAGAGATCAGTCTCAAAAATTAAAATTGAATATAGAGAACACAATTGCTGGGTGATCAGTGGGACTTTATAACTGGTCTGGGTATCCATGCTTTCAACTTTGCAACTATACTGTGTTACTCATCAAGAGGAAATCATCTCATGTATCTCATCATTGTAAATTTCAGAGGAAATCAAGGTCAGTCCTCATCCCTAGTCTTACCCATAAGGTCTGATTCATTTATAAATGGCATATTTGAAAATGTAGAGTGGGTGGAATAAAAAGATCAAGAGACAAAGTAAAAGTTGAAAGGTGCCTACACTATCTATAATGTACTGAATTACAAAAGGATGTCAAATTAGAGCTGTTTTCTGGGAGAATCCCTCTCACCTCAATCTTTTGCGGAATTTTACAGATGATCGATCAAGGCTTGATCCTGCATGATGGGTCATACTTCCGGGATCTCTGGAACATCCTTGATTTCATCGTTGTGGTGGGAGCTCTGATCGCCTTCGCTTTAACGTGAGTGTGTGGAGGAAAACTCATCTTTCAAAAATCCTGTCTCGTTTCTTGTCATGACAATTGGAATGTAAAGTAAGGGACCCCTTTACGTACATATAATAAGCTCAAGTATTATATTCATATATCTACAGTAGCTTTTGTTTCTTCTCTTTAACAACTTTAATATGATTATGTACTGCATAAACACTCAAATAATCGGCAAAAACTTGAAAAAACAGGTCTATGATTTACAACTCTGACTCATTAAAGTTTAATTGATAGGGTGGTTATTTACAAAGATACAAGGGAACACTGAATAAGATGATGTGCCATTCAATTACCTCTGCAAGAAATCACAGCACATTTTTAGATGCCGGGTGGTTGTCCCTAGTCTGAGCATCCAGGACATTTCTGAAGAATTTGAAAACTGAACTACACGTGTAGCTCATACAGTTTTCCCTCACACTCAATATTGTAGTTTATTGATCAACTGTCAGTTATTTTTTTAATCATAAGCATTGGAATTGGAGCTCCTTTTTCAAGACTTCTCTGGCATGTGTATTTGTTTTTAATTTGACCACCTCACAGAAAGCTTTTTGGTTCATTTTTAATTTCTTTGCTGTACATATTGGAAAATAAACTGGATCAATTTTAGAATAGTGTTGTTTCTTTTAAATCATTAAAAACATTACCACCTGACCAGTTGTTAGCTTTGGCTCTTATAATGTATTACTACTGTATATAACTTGTATTTGACTTCTGCATATTGTAGGACATGCATATCAGTAATAATGGAAAAGTCAAAAGTCACACCTTAGGGCATTACTACTTAAGAGTCATTTAGAGTCAGTCCCAGTCTGGGTTGACAGAATTGAGGATTTCTGTCCCAATCTTCTTTAAAACAATCTTGTTCCTGAAAACGAAACAAAAGAGAAAAAAGTTGCTTAAGAGTGGCTAACCATGGTAGGTGGAATACAATTCTGTAAAGCCAGTCTTTAGCAGCAATGTGATTTATTGTGTGTTTTCCCTGTTGTGAACATACTTGTCAAATCTCTAAATCTCTGTATTCTGGATTTCTATCCCCTTTGTTTTCTTTGTTGTTCCTGTGGATTGTGTCGCTGCCAGGAATGTGATGGGGTAAAACACTTCTCTTTGTCTCCTTGGCCTGTACATTTCAAACTGTAGATATGTTCATTTCTCTCATTCCTTAAGAGCACACACTGTTGAGCAGAAGTGACTCTCTATTGGTTTACTTCACTTGTGTTTTCTGTAAAACTGGTCAGGTAGATTGAAGGGTGTATTCAATATTTTGTACATGAGCTCTGAATACTGATATATGAAGATGAAAATTCATTGTAATGCATGGTGAAATAAGAACATTTTCAAAATATTCTGAAATGTTATTAAAACCCAGTATTTGTGTATGTTATTTGTCCTTCATATTGCTGTCTGACTGTTTTTTGTGTTCTGTAGGTAACTCTCCCCCTCCCCATTAATTAAAGGCATTATAGACCACAGTTATGTAGATTGAATATGGCCTGGCTAAGCTGGAGTAAGGATGAAACTCACTATATTTCTGTACTGGCAGGAATAACAAAGGCCGGGATATCAAAACTATCAAGTCCCTGCGTGTTCTAAGAGTCCTGCGTCCACTCAAGACAATCAAGAGACTCCCAAAGCTAAAGGTATTGGTCACTATTCTAGAGTTGGGCTACAAGAAGTATCTGGTACCAGTAACTTTGATAGAGGTTGGTTTATCTTTTCTGAATAACCCCCTTTCCTCATACAGATTGACTGGTAGTGTTTCCCAGCAGCTGAGACTCAAATGACGAGCAACTACTGCCCTTTTCAGAGTGTATCAGAGTGTATCAGAGTACAGTATGTACTGTTCTAGGGGCAAAATCTGTAGTGTTGTAGTCATTTTGATCAAAATCTCCCACAGAGGCGAGAGAATCAATAAGGAACTGTGACCATAATATTGGATTGAATATATTTTCCAACTGTACAGAGTTATACGGTTTCAGCATGGTATTCTATAAAGAATTTAATCAGTTTTTAACTGTAGACTGGGATAAGACTGATATGGAAACAGTAGCAAATGTATGGAAACAGTTTAGAGAGGTTTCTTCTTGAAGTACAGAACAGAATCTTCTAGAAGTCTAGAAAACAGAAGCCCAGATGGGCACTTTGTATACATATATAATATATATTATTTAAAAAACAGGACCTAATGAAGGAAGCAAAAGTTAATGAGCTGGAAGCGCAGTAAACCTGTGATTCAGAATGTGACGTGGAGACTTCTGCATGTTTTTCACTAGTGATATTAGAATACGTAAAAAAGACATGTCAGCATATTTCTACCGTATAAGTCAAAACTGTGACGAAGATCAATATATTTTACAGTGATGATTAGAGATGACTTTGACACATGTACGTTAACATTTTAACCTTCTCCTTTGTGAAACAAAAATCTTTAAATGTTCCCAGTCCACACCACCAGGATTGTGCTGAGTGTATTTAAATTGTAACAATAATAATATCCCTATGTATAAGTTATGGTAAAATTTAGAGATATATAAAAAACATATTCCTTGGAAATCATAATGTTTAGTTCAACATTCCTGCCCTTTGAGTTAAATGCAGATGGTACTGCCGCACTCCCAAGTGTAAGTCAAAATGATAAACATCCCTGATGTATAAGGATCTGCAGTATGTTTCATAATTTACTTCTAATTCACACACATGACTTTGCACAAAAACATGCATTTAATAAGCTTGGCATAAGCCTAACCCAAGCCCAACCAAGTTAAAGCACTTTGTTTTTGCAGGCAGTGTTTGACTGCGTTGTGACCTCTCTGAAGAACGTCTTTAACATCCTGATTGTCTACAAGCTCTTCATGTTCATCTTTGCTGTGATTGCCGTGCAGCTTTTCAAGGGCAAGTTCTTCTACTGCACTGATGGCTCCAAAGACACAGAGAAAGAATGCCAGTATGTGTCTGTACACCCCCGACTCACTATGCTTTGTTTTGACAGAGCAATACAGTTGTAATAGTGGCATATAATTCCTGTATTTAGAAATGTTTAGGGTTCCCAAGAGGTGATTTGGTAAAGATATTCTTCTACGTGGAGCTGAAAGGTCACTTCTAAAATAAATACATACTGTAAAAGCATATTGCACAGAATAAAATGACAAAGTATTCCGTAGCCAGGAAAACAAAGTAGTTACAAAAGGCATTGTAAATTACAACAAAATCCTTTCTGAACGTTTTTAGACAACTTTTGGGATTAATTTCCAGAGATTTGAGGCACAGCAAAAACAAGACCTTGTAATTCACAATTAAAGGTCACCCATGCCTTTCATCAAGGTTAGATTACTGTAATACCTTAGTTATTTGGATAGCTACTACGTTACTAAATAGGATTCAGTATTTCATGAATTCTATTACTCAGGTGCTACTTCAAACTGACTCTCATCATGAATTACAACAGCTCCATGTGAACTTTAGACTAGATGTCACAGTTCTCCAGTTCTCTGGGCACTGATTGCTCTCATTCCTAGTTATTGTATGCTAAGGTGTTCCAGCTCTAAATCTGTGATCAGCTGTCTGTTAAGCTGATACACAGCTCTAAAAACAAGGAATGGACCCTATACGTGGTTCAAGGTCACAAAAATCCTAAAACAGCAAATAAGGGAAATCCAGGGCCAGTGTCAAGAGGTGAGCAAAAGTCCAAAGCCAGAAGACAAGTTTAGTATAAAGTGCCAGAAACACAATCCAAAAGCCAAGGTCAGGAAACAGGCCAAAATCCAAAAGTCAGGCAAGGAGTCCAGGAAGAATTCAACAAAGGCTAGCTCAAGAGCTCAAAGAGTTGAAAACAATGCTGGGCACAGCTTGAACGAAGAGCAGGGTTTAAATATGTTTGGGGAGGGAAGGCATGGTGAGGTAGGGACACTGGGCAAACAAGGATTGGCTACTGCCATCTGCTTGATCTGCGCCACTGCTGCACAGATGAAGTAGGCACTAGAGGTTGGGGTGCTCTCTGGTGACGGGATGCTGCAACTGTAAAACTGTCTCAGGATATGTCACCATGAAGACCAGGGTCTGCACAGCATATAATAGACTATTCTTACAGTAAAGAAACAAGTAATAGGTTTATTCCATGCTAAAAAGAGAAGAAAGAAAACACAATGTTTCGGCTGTGGAGCCTTCTACAGGTGTGACACTTGTGATTACACCTGAAAAAGGGTCTGTAGCCGAAACGTTATTTTCTTTCTTCTCTTTTCAGCATGAAATAAACCTATTACTTGTTCCTTTGCAGCCTACGCATGCTGACGCAGCTACCCACCTGAACTATTCTTACAGTATGTGCAGCACCACATCTGTGGGACTCATTGTCTAAATCCATTACAGATTCTGTGACTTTTGATGTTTTTTAAAATTTACTTAAAGACTCCTCTTTTCAAAACATACCTTAGTTGTATTCTAAGTATTCATAGTATGCCTAAGTTGTATTCTTAGTTTTATTGAGTGAGTTTGTTTTACAATATTTATTTCTGTGTAATACATGTGTGCTTTGGCACAGTTCCTAGAGTTTCTTGAAAGCCCTTGTTAAGTATATGTAATAAAAATAATAATAGCACTATTTTGGCAGAAACTCATCGTGTGTTTACACTGGGTAACAACATTCAGATCAGAAAGCATATTTTTAATCAGTCTGAGTATTTTAAGGAAAAGCACACAAGTAATATATTTTGCAGACATAACAATGTGTAAACTAGTTAGCTTCTCTTCAATTATGAAAATGTAACAAATGTACAGATTCATTCTACAGTTCATATATGCTATTTGCACCATTTAGGGGATTCTATATTGATTATGAAAAGGACAAGAAGGAAGTAAAGAAGAGGGAATGGAAGAGGCATGACTTTCACTATGACAACATCATCTGGGCTCTGTTGACCCTTTTCACCGTTTCCACAGGAGAAGGTTGGCCTCAGTGAGTATCCTGGTAGTATTTGGCAGTTCAGCGTGAAGATATTATTCATATCATATTACCTGAGCAAACACTTGGATACTTGATATTACAGCAATATGGACCCTTTCAAAATAATGTAACAGAAGTGTGAAGGGAAGTTAAATAATAATGTTACAATTTCACTCTCCTACATTTAAATGCTTCCTGCCAATCCGGAACTCTGTGCACATCTTTCCCAAACCTCTCCATTTCACTCTCATCAAAGACAGATGTATCCCACGTTCCGTATCACAAAAGCTTTAACTTTATTGTGTTGGCCTCTTTTAAAACTGGACCAGAGTTGTTGTTTTCTTTGCCTCTTGTCTAATAAGCAGATCTTCAACCTCACATTTTGACTGGAAAACACCTGGTTTTGGTATTGCCATGCTGTCTACTCTTCCTCCAGTGCTCCTGATGTTGTCAACCCTCCCTGGAACTCCAATCAACCCTGACCACTTTCCACTTCCACTTCCCTTCCATTTCTCTTCTCCTAATCATGCTCACTTCCCTGTCCTCCACCCTTTTCTCTCCATTTCTTATCAAAATCCTAACCTGTTGCATCCATGGCCCTAGCCCATTTCCCTTTCTTCAATCTGCCTCTTCATTGTCCATATAAGAGCCCCCTCACCCCCCAGTTACATGCTTCGCCATCCCCGCTTGGCACCTGTGACTGAGTTCCAGCCCTGGCTGCTACAGTAATATGTCCCCTCCCCTTACCCCTACCTCTGTTGGCGCTCAAATGGTGCAGTGTCTGCCCTCAAGTGTTTCCCCTCCCAAATCTGCCACCCACATGCATAGCTGACATTTTTGGGTTTCCAATGCATACGTCCTCATTTATTCTGTTCTAAAAAACTTCAGCAAGCGGTGATTCTAACTTTTCTTCCTACTTCCACATCAAGTTACTCTGTCCGGTCACTGCAGTGTCTTTCGCTGTCCATAACAGACTTCGAGTTCAATCAATTAAAATACTATTTTAAAATAATACCATTAGTGTAAGAGTTATACTCACAATTTGGAATAAGGGTGTTATCAGGTTAAAATAACTAGGCCCTTCAAGTAATCCATATTAGGATTATTGTTTAAAATCTAAGCAGTTTTTTTAGAGCATAACCCGATAAAAGTCATCCTCCTTCTATATTTATTAATCACTAAATCTTACTCAGAATGAATTATCTTAACCATTAAATCTTAAAAAAATTATCTTACTATCTTGATAATTCTTTGCTTAACTTCAAATTGGGACTTGGATACTTTGTACTTTACCTTCTGTACATGGAGACCTTTTGTTTTTCTCTTCTGTGCCGACTCCAAAAGTGTCCCATGAATGGATTTGCCATGAGAAACTTCTAATATTTTGGATTACGACCTCAGTGTGGGTGTGCTTTTATCACTTGTTCAGCTTTATTCATTTAACGTCGCCCCCCCCCACCCTCTGGATTTGTAATCTACAATGATAAAAAATATGGATAGAAACAAGTGCCAGCAGCCAGAGAAACTTTCAGCTCCTCTGAAAAATGATTTCAGAAAAGATTTGGTGAACTTCAGAGTGCATCTTTTTTTCTATGGGTTTCTACAGACTGCTCTGTAAGTGGTCTTTTCTTGTAAACAGGATATTTGATTGGTTCTTCCCCTATGTACTGTACTACAGTATGTAGAACTGGAGCCCCTAGATTTTTTTCACGTGTGGTTGTCATTCTCTGTAGCTTTTGGTTTTATTTGATTAACATCTGGGATCTCAGGGAACATTGTTAATGGACTCGTATATCTAAATTCATCAGTGTCTTAATTGTATTATTTTTACATAAAACCCAAATATAAACCCCCATTAAAAAGTCTCACGTTGTTTCTCTAGTAAAAAGATGCAAATTATAACTGCACATTCACATCCAGTAAATTAAGAAGAAAATTACAATATCCTTTTGTTACTGGTGCAATACACTGACATTTTATTGAATGCACATGAGGAAATTATTGTGATTTGCCATTTGTCATGAACCAAAAGTGAAATTCACAGACTAGTAGAGTGCCACACTGCTGAAAGCCATTCAAGGTGTGCATCTGCAAAGCATACAGTATATTATACTAAGCAGTAGTAAAGCCTACAGAATATGTAGGAAAGAATATAAAATGCTTATGACCTCAGAGCAGCAGTTAGTGGGCTAACATTGCCAGGGTCCTATGAAGCATCAGTATCTGTATGGGGGAGTTTGCATGCTATCCTAGTTTTCTTGGGTTCTCGTTTTCAGATTGTCTCTTCTAATTGGCTTTCCCCCTGTTGTTTGACCTCTTGTTGTTGTTATACAGTCTCCAAGTCATAAATGGCTTTTGCTTAGTTGTATTAATACTGACAATGAAAATACTGTAAATTTTGACATATTCGCGTGATAGGGTTCATACATTTAAATACATTGTCTTGCTATAAAATGTCACCTGTTCTACCTTTGACTACAAGCAATGAAGTGGTTGATCCAAGCAGGCCCTGATCTTGGATACAAAGGACTCTGTGTAAAAATGATCAGCCTGACTTCACCTCTACATTTGCAGGGTTCTGCAGCACTCGGTGGATGTCACAGAGGAGGACCGCGGGCCCAGTCGAGGAAACCGCATGGAAATGTCCATATTCTATGTGGTCTATTTTGTGGTTTTCCCATTCTTCTTCGTCAACATCTTCGTGGCTCTTATCATCATCACTTTCCAGGAGCAGGGTGACAAGATGATGGAGGAGTGCAGCCTGGAAAAGAATGAGGTGACAACGACACTGTGCTTGTTCCCTTCCTGTACTACCTTCACACAAGACCCAGTCACCACTGAAACAGAAGCAGCTGCAAATTACATTTGTGTAGCAACATGCATTGGTCTGCATATTAAGATATACAGTAATAATATGGAGATTATATTGGTCTCAGGTTTGTAATTAAATTGGTAATGTTACAGTATGTTTTGTAGTATGACACTGCACCATAATTTTATATATACTATACATAAATCACCAACCATAATTAGTAGCCATAGCTGTCAATACTACATTTTAGTCCAGGATTATGTCTGTTTGCAATTAATGATAATATAATTTGTAATTTAACATTTAAAGTAGTAGTTTAAGACATTTCAATATCTATGATTTATCTATTTAGTGATCAATGACTGTAGTAGACATTTATTTATATATTTTATTTAAAAAAACACATAATAACCTTACAAATGCCTCCAAGTTGAGCTTTTCAAATTTGAAAGGAGTTGTCAATACACCCAGGAGATAGTATACATATAGTTCACAACATCTGTGGTAAACCCAATTATAACAGTAAGCTTCAGCAGCTTTATTTGTATTTTTACTTTCTGCAAAATTTTCACTTTGCATTTTTTACGTGAAGTGTTGGATATTAAGTTTGTTGTCGAGACAGTGACTCACAAGGCAACCATACAGTATTTTTTATCATAGCCAGATCACGGTTTGGATTCTGGAATGTAAGGAGTGCTTTGAAACAGCCTGGACTTTGATTTACATTGTGTATCCCAAGTATACAGAAGACATGACATTATATGGTATCTCTGTATAAATATTGACTGTCTCACAGATCCCACACAGCACTTTCAAGTGCCTACCCTGCGGTTTGCAGGATAGTCAAGCGAGTGTGATGTTTTCATTCAGAGCAGCTTTGGGTTGAACTGAAAACCTCTTTATTGAGAACTGCCCCCAACTGGTATGATGAGTTGCTCTGCTCACAACTGAAGCAAACCATTAGCACATGGCTTAAGTACAGAACAAGGAGTGTTGGTTCATACTTGCATTACCTGACAGAATTCAGTAGCATCAGCTGGAAAAGGAATCAGGAAAATCAGATGCAATATACTAGGTCATGCAGGATAGCACAATCCATTAATTCCTCTGTTATTAAACCCAAGGACTTTAGTAGGCTGTAGTTCTGCTTGTGTCATATCCAGAATTAGTTGATTAGTCATTCATTTTTCTTGATTTGGGCCTTGACTGTTCAAATAAAGACTGAAATTTTCAAGAGCCCCACTGTGCACACAAAACCTGTGCTCTACAGTATATACTGTACTTTAGTCAGGCATGTCCATAATGAAAACCTGGGGTATTTATGACTTAGTTCAACACAGAACAGTAACAAATATGTATTTTGCTGTATTATTCAAGATTTTAAATGATTATTATTAGATCATTGTTTTGTTAAAAATTAATTATTCACGTTCGCCTTCTTTGTGATTTAAACCTTTTTAAATTACACAATTCCACTTCTAATTCAAAGTTTAAAAATACAAAAGCTAATTTTGTCTATATTTAGATGTGTTTCAACACAGTCCAATTTCAGCCTTTTTTTAATATCCTGGATAGATTATTTTAGCAATCAGTTGGTAATCAGAAGGAACTTTGTTTATTCTACTTGGTTAAACAACTGAAAACTGCTCTCTTCTGCTACTAATATTATATAGTTGTTTAAGAGTTTGTCTTATTGTGAAGTAAGAACAGTTTTAAGATGACACTGGCTCTTTTTTGTGCTTCTGAAAACAGTAAGCCTGTTTTTGGTCTAATTATTTCTTTACTCTTGATACCAGTCAAGAAACCAACTTCAAGGAAACTGTCCAGAGCCATCTGTGTTGTCACCATTGTTTCAGGTTTTGTGAGTTGCGCCAGTCACTTCTAGCTTACCTTGTATAAATAAAGAACCAAAGTAACTTTCAGTACCTAGCATAACTTTAAGGATAAGAAGTCTGAAAATGTAGCAGAAGGTGAAGAGTAAATTTTGGGAAGACATTGATATCCTTGTTCATTCTTTGTTTTCAGAGGGCCTGCATTGATTTTGCAATAAGTGCCAAGCCCCTGACTAGGTACATGCCCCAGAACAGACAGACCTTTCAATACAAAGTGTGGCACTTTGTTGTCTCTCCTTCTTTCGAATACACAGTGCTGGCCATGATTGCTCTCAACACCGTCGTCCTGATGATGAAGGTAATGTTTTTGTTCAGTTCTCTTACTTCCACTTATTTCCAGATGTAGATAATGAATGAGGCGTTGCCATTTTTGCTGAGGTTATACATCTTCTGCCAGTGTTTCGCTCCCCTGTCTACCTTTCTCATCCAGCATGTTGACGAATTAAAGTCACCGGTTGCCTGCCACATACAGTATATTATTCCTTTCTTTATTTGTTTATTATTTTCCTACGCCCTAGGAAGAATGCTTGTCAGAGTCATTTTTTTTGCTAGCAGTCAATTTGCAGTGAACAAAAGCTATTTTCATACTCCTCAGGAACATAATCTACTGGAAATAAATTTATTTTCACAAATTACAAATTACACAAAGCAGTGTCTTGTTTTGTGTTTTGTCATACCTTAAATACCACATTGCTGTGAGGTGTGACACTGAATGGAGTATTTTGAGAAGCTGTACCATACCTCCTGTGACAGGTTGGAACAATAGACGCTGCCTCCTGTACAAACAATGCAGCCTGTTTACTTACAGTACTGTACAATTATATGCTTCTTAGTGATCACACCTTAATTTATCGAATATTTTTGCTGTTGTCAGCTTTTTCACATTTGCTATGTGAATAGCAACATAATACACAAGAGAAGGACAGCATGTTCAGTCGCTGAGACCAGAGACTAAAGTTAGTCAGTGTTTTCTGAATGTTGATCTGACCCCAGTGAGATTGTTCATTATACTTTGTTCATGCTTACTGTACTGTATGTCTACCTACAAAATCTATAGAACAGATATTATCTGTGCTGTCACTCCAAACTAGAGTTCCCATTTGGGTATCTTCATTTTGACTTTACAATAAAGGTGTGAACGTAGAAGAGCCTTACTATGGAGACTGAGGAAACTGAACAGGTCCCACTCGAGAGTACAGAGCCCCAAAACATAAGAAATGCATAATAAAATAAGGCTGCAGCTTAGGACACCAAAAACGACTTCCCCATTTTGCTACCTGAATTAAAGTAACTTGCAACTTGTCTTTCTTTCTATAGATAGAATCCTAATCATAAAGAGTGAAAGAAACCTCAGTTACAGTAAATCCCACTCCTCATTGTTCTCTGTTGCACTTATTAATAGTTGAGGAAATATAGTACACTCCAGCGTAATGTCATTTGACTCTTCTTCTGAAAGAACCATTTAAAAGAACAATATATTCCATAGTGGCAAGCTAGCTAAGTTATACCTGACCCACCACTAGGGGCTACTAAAAGGCCTTTTACATGTATGTTTGTAAATAGCCACGGCAAGTATTAATTCATTATTGTATTATTGGTGAAAGGTTAAGAATTTCACATTCTAACATGGGAGTAAGTATTTAAAGTAAATACAGTACTGTACTTGGGAGTACAGTAAGTTCGGGTGTGCAAGATGGTAGTGGTGGTTGTTTTCTTTTTTGAGGGGTTTCTTCTTATTGTGTGTGACCTGAAAAGACCCACAGCAAAGCCTCCTGGCCGTCATGAGTTTTTGTGCAAGCAGATCCTTGGGATTGGTTAAGGGTATATCCTGTCACACACATGCTTTGGTTCATTATTATGTACATTCCCAAACTTATATCTCATACATATCAACCCATGATTTCATAATAATTAGAAAAGCACCTTCTATGTTTAGTTTTTTAAGTACTACACATTTGAAATGACCATTCAAAAAAGAGAGCTTAAATGTGCTATTTAAGCAGCACAAGGCTAAGAAAACCCCCTATTTTTGTCAGAACTCTGTTATGTGCCCTTCCTTGTAACATCAATCTGTATCTGTAATCTATTTTGTAACATAAGAATGTACGATTGAGAATGCTCCAGTTAAAGTAAATGTGTTTCCTCCTTTATAGTATTATTCTGCTCCAACAACATATGACCAGGTCCTGAAGCACCTGAACACTGCCTTCACTGTGCTCTTTTCACTGGAGTGCATCCTCAAAATTGTGGCTTTCGGATTTTTGGTGAGGATCTCATCTGTGTGCTTGGCTCTATAAAGATATGTAACCTAATCCGTCTAGTTCAAGCATGGATAGGGAGCAACAGGTAGCCAACTGTATATACCAACTACAGTATTACATATATACCAACTACAGTATAATATGTACTACAGTACAATTAAATTCTAATTTGTACAGAGAAAAATAAAGCAATTCAGTTTGAGGGGAAACAAAACTAGCAAAACATGATGCCATGTCAAGTTTGTTGCTATATGATAGCTGGTAACGTCAATTTACACTATATATAGTAACATGAGTGCTCACACGCAGAATTCTATGTACAGTATACACATATTGTGTATGCAGTGTATAATGTATATGTTACATAAAGTTATATATTTACTTAAATAAAGTACGTTTTTTTTCTGCAGAACTACTTCCGGGATACCTGGAACATATTTGATTTCATAACAGTCTTGGGCAGTATTACTGAAATCGTGCTTACAGATTTCCAGGTAAACGGTTAATTTTTGATAGACTGAGAAGTCTACTACTCGGAGTTCTACTCTACATAAAGAGCAAGTCATACAGCTCTGGTTTCCAAGTCCTCAAAAAGATAATTAAGCCTATAACTATAAGTTATAGTAGAAAGTTAACAGACCCATCATGTGGCTTGTGTAACATGAATTAACAAACTATTCACTTAATCATAAAAAGCAGCAAACTCAATTTTGACGTCAGCCATTATTTAGCCAGCAGCCATTTGAATACATTGGAAAGAATTAATGGTGTTACTTTTTATTTTATACTGCTTCAGTTTAGAATCTTCAATGCCTATTCAAATCAGCATTTCCAACAAATGAGGAATAAGTAATAATTACATTTTTCTTGCATATATCTGCCCTTATAAAAGCTTGGTTAAAAACAATTGTAAGATAAATATCATGGTCATATTCAGAGTGTAATGCGCAGACCTCTTTAAAAGTTAAGCTTGATACCATGATAGAAACACTTAGGAGGTAGACATCCTTTCTCAAATTAACATTAACGTTAGTCTAGAATTAATGATATTTATAATCTGTGAAGCTATTGGTTAGAACACAGGAGGAGAGTGTTCTGATAAATTAAATATTGAGTTAAATGTTCATAAACTGTAAGAAAGTGCTTTCAGAATGGAACAGCAGGTACTGTATGTATTTACAGAAAGTGTGATAGGTGTCTAAAATAAGCATCTTTGCCATATTATTGAGGCTGATTGCCTTAGACCAAATAGCTTGTTACTGTAGGTCTAACAGCTTGTTAGCCTGGATTTTCCTATTAATAATATGTTAGCAATCAAATAAGATGAACAGGACTCAAAAACCTCCTCTTGAATTTTTCTGAGTTGCTCAAGAAATGCTCAATGTTGTGATGTTGTGTATTGCACAGTTACCGAACACTTTCAACATGAGTTTCCTGAAGCTGTTCCGTGCTGCCCGTCTCATCAAACTCTTAAGACAGGGATACACAATTCGCATTCTGCTCTGGACTTTTGTGCAGTCCTTCAAGGTCAGGCTACTTTTTCTGCTTGTAAACTGAACAGATAACATCTGGCCTGGGTGTAGATGGATGGATTATCACTTGTGACAGGGCTCTCGTTTCACAGCTTCGGGCCTTGTAGTGGCTAATGTAAACATATTGACACTAAAAGTGTGTGCTTGTGAAAGTAATACAAGTAATTGGAAAGTGCTAAAGCAAGGAGTGATGAGTTTACAGATTAGCCTACCTAATCTATATTTATTAGGTTGAGAAAATATTTGTAGGTTTGTGTTTGTTTGCCCATATTTTAAGCCAAGAAGAGAAATGTATTCTAACAAAACAGAATCAACTGGCATTTTTTTATGGAAGTGACAACAGCTATTATCAGTAGATGGTCTGTTTTGTATGTTAGTTGAAAGCTCAACAGAAATTTTAAAGTTGTTTGTTTTTTCCAGGCACTTCCTTATGTCTGCCTACTGATCGCCATGCTTTTCTTTATATATGCAATTATCGGGATGCAGGTACAGTATGAATGCTTTTTTATAAATGCTTAAGGACTATTTTTCCTGCTAAATCTTAGTTATGAGACATACAATACTGTATAGGAAAAATAGAGGACTAGATATCCAACCATAGCCAAAGGTTGTGTACTTAATTTTCTGTGAAAAAGAACTTTTGGCTATACAGTACCATTAGGCTGTACAGCTGACAGAAGTACAGATGCAGCTGTGCAGATTGCATGTCAAAATTCATTACTGCAGCAAAATTACATCGCCATGACAAGTTATTCTGCCCAAAGAATGTTCCCTGACCAAAGAACATTGATAAGTGGCAGTTGTGGTGCCTTAGATGTTAATTTAAACGTGAGCTTCATTTAATCTGTTGTCCTACTTTTTTAAATCCACTTAATACACAATATTAATATGGAATTAAGTAACTAAAATTATATTATGATAGACAAAAATTTAAAAAAACATTTCTGAACATCATATCTATTTATTTAAATGTAATATATGTACTATATATACAGTAGCTAGTAGTGGTAGCGTATTCCAATTTCTCTATAAACATCTGCATTGAATTTTTTAATTTGTGATTATTTTGGAAACATTTTGACATGCTTGTTTTAACTACATTTTGCCATTGTAGTGGATGCAATGGAAAATAAAACACATGAACTGAGCGATGTTTTAGATGAGTGGTAGAGAATATTCACCTCCTAGCTACAAGTTCCTGGGTTCGATTCCCTGCCAATGCACGAGTTGTACTCTATTAGTAAAGTATAAGATATAATATGTGTACTATATTGGCCTTTTTATTATTTTTACATATCACTGTATGTTAAATATTAAAATAATATTACTATATCAGCAAGAAAATAATAACATTGAATAAATATAAATAAGTTAGCAAAACACTGCAGTCAATGCAGTAAATGTAGTAATGAACAGTTCTATCAATTGTTCAGAGAGAGTTAAGAGACTTTAATGATGCCATTAAACAGCAAACATTAGCAAAAAATGGCATACTTTAAATACTTTAACATGTTATAATATTTCATAGTTGTGACAATATCGTTTAAACTGAAAAAAGTAATCAGTTTCTCACTGTATCCTTTTAAATAGGTTACTCAAAGAACATTTAAAGTTTCAACATGTCTTTTGAACTACATATTTAAAATGATAAAATTAGCAACTTCCAAAGACCATTGTTGTACAATCTATTTTATACAAAGTAAATACATAAACCTTGCAGCAATATGTGACCTGCCCTACTCGTATGGCGCATATTTTGGATCAGTGTTATGGAAATATTGAACATGCATGCAAGACAGTCTGCAGACCACCAATTTGGAAAAACACAGAAAGGGAATTGTGCTGTTAGCTCGTCCTTTGTGAATGGTCTTAATTATTTTTAATAAATAATTTCTGGATGCACAGATTTACAACACTTAACACCCAAAACCAGAAAACTAAGGCTGGAGTCTCAAATCTCAATATAACATCTTATTTTAATGACAGTCCATGAGATGTTTCCTCTTTGGTTGATATCTGTACTGTGTATGTTCCAAAATCCATTACTAAAACATTCTACAGTTTCTACTTAAATTTTTTGGCCTTTTCAAAATTAACTTCATGCATGTGAAAAATCACAAAATGCTTGATCAATTTTGGCAATAGTGGGTGTAGCACATTAACCCCTCTACTTCTGTTGTTGTTATGAGCATCTGGGTGTGTGGATCACAGTGCCAGTGCAGCCACTGGATAAAACAATTAGAAAATGGATGGATCAAATGACACACTCTCGGTGTTCTGTCCTGCAGTGCAAAATTGCGTCAGGACAGTGATGACCCATCCAGGTAATGATCAGGCTCACACCTGCTTACAGTACCTTCAGTCTGTGTCAAATTGTGAGTTGCACAATGATACAGCTGCTGGATTATTTTCTGGTGGTCAAACGATTGGTCATTTTCTTTAATCCCTCTATGGCTGTATTCACAACTTTGTTACACTCTCAGAAGAAGGTGAACCTGAAAGATTTAATTCTCTCTGTTTTGACTGCGAGAGACTGTAAACCACAGAAGTCCGAAAAACTGTGAATGACCTAACAATGGCCTTGACCCTCCTTAGATACTGTTGCTAAATTAGTTGAGCTTTAACCAAGGCACTACAGTATATAAAGCAATGGGAAACCCGAATGAAGCATTAAGTCTGACCTTTTTTCAGTAATCTGTTATAATTCCATACATTAATTAGGTAAATCATTGTGGGAACAGCCCAGCACAGGACCCCAATTCACAGTCCCTAAATCTCAACAAGTTAATCTCAACAAGCAGATTTGTAAAGAAGAATGGATTTAGATTATTCAAAAGTGGTGCAGGAAATAATAAACAGATATAGGATTATTAGCAATGTACAGTAGAAAGAAATGGCTTGTGCTGTAGAAAGTAGCATTTTTGCTTTTTTGGTTTCCAAAGTTTTTTGGTTTCTTTCTTCAGCTCCACTATAGGCAAAGCCAAACTTTTTATATTTGCTTTTAAATAAAGTATGGTACTGAAAGGATTTAAAGTGACCACAGTATGTGTGTGTTTTATAATCAAAGTGTCAAATATAATTATCTGTATCATAATTATGTTAAATAAGCATGAAGACAAATATAGATTATTTAAATGCCTATGTAAACCTGAAAAAAATGTATTCACAACGGCTTACAACAATAGACTATTTTTTATATATCCAACTAAGTAATCTTGCTTTGTGAAACAGCCCTTCTTTTATTTTTGATTAATAATTGGCTAGGATTTGAACCCAGGCAACTCGAAATTCTTCCATTGAACCACCAATGCCTAACACTGATAAGGTTACAGTACAGTATGTGACCATAAGTCATTCTTTGAATCATTGAAAATTACTGAAATCTATTTTTTTAAATACAGTATTTTTTAAAGCCACTATGTATAATATGCTTTACAAACAAAACTAAAAATAAAAGTGTTTTCTAAATACACTTTATAGACAAATATTAATAATTCTGTTTATCGTATGTAATGAAAAAAAAACTAAAATTCTGTTAGTGTTACTGTACAGTATGACTATCTTCGGAAAGCACTAATGGGTTAATACACATTTAATTTTTATTATTAAATTAAGGTTTATTGTACATTATGTTAGATACACTCCACATTAAGCATTCACTGAGCCACCTGGCAGTTTTACAAAGTAGTGCAGTTCTGCATCAGATTATCTGAAAAAATAAAATGTGTTGGGCATTGCCATTTGGTGTAACATGGCATGTTCTTTGCGGTATGGCACATTATGGCTCAAGCATTCTGAATGGCTGCATCTGTATGTCCATCCTAATTGTGTAAAAATTGAAAGAAGTGCCAGCATGGCTAGCCCTTGTCCTGGAGTTATACAACTTTGGATCTCTTTTTCACATTTCTGAGCAGTTAATTTGTTTATTTGAGTCATATACAGATCCTCTGGTCTCTGTTGTACAACCCTGGCTAATCAGAGCATGTCTGAGAGGTACCAGATAGCAAAAATGCTTGCTTGGGCTCTGGTTTCAACAGAACAGATCACTGTAAAATGGAGCAGTAAACAGCAACCTTATTTCTATACTTCCTAAAGTAAACTAAATTTCTAGTTTTTCTTAATTTTTGGCAATTTTAATTGTTTCTGCAGGTATTTGGTAACATCAAATTGAATGATGAATCTCATATAAACCAGCACAATAACTTTAAGACTTTCTTCAGTGCTCTAATGCTTCTGTTCAGGTAAGATTGTGTTGTTTTGATTGTGGTATTAGTGCTAGTTGGCAGCCCCTTCTACCTAGACACACTCAGGCACACACAACATAACATTGTTTGGTGTTTCTTCAAACAAAAGTTCTGGAGAAAATCTAATTCTAATGTCACAGTTCTACTTTTTTACTTGTCTAAGTTCTCTAACTGCACAGTGGAAGCACCATTCCCAGTGTTTATATTTTCTAGCTCTTAGTGGGGTTTTGTCATTGCAGATGGATGCTTTTCTCATTTAGCATTGCTGGGACCTTACCTTCATTGCATTCATCTCCAAAAAGCCAAGACCAGAGTCAGTTTTTCACCTCTTAACCCCACCCTCAACTGAAAACAAATTTAGCCCCTCTCATGGTTGGTGTCCATCTGTTGCAGTGTTAGACCTTCTCCCCCCCAGAGCTTCCAGCCACATATGTATCTGACATTGATTCTTGTTTGGGGGTTCAACTTGGAATACATTCTCATTCATTCCTTCTATCAAATTTCAGCAAATGGTAGCTCTGTTCCTACTTCTCCACCATATTACACTTCCAGATTGCCACAGCATCTTCCACTGCATATCACACAGTTCCACTCTCACGCTGGCTACTCCTATTAGGGCTGCTAGCATTATGTGTGCTTCTTTGAAACATTGCATGTAAGAAATATATTATTCAAGCAAGTACAATTCTATATCAGTTATGAGCTTCTCATTCAGAATATACTGAATCAAACAAGTTCAAGCCTGCATCAAACACAACCAGCTCTCAGGATCTGATTTTTATAATATGATAACTAATCACTAATTATTTTATTTTATACTTTCATCATCCCCTAGTCATATCAATGCAGGTATTCCCATTTGATTTGATTCCCATTTTCATTCGCAGAAAAATATTTAAAGGATGCTCCTGTTCTAGCAGTTGTTTTTAAATACTATTAAAATACAATTTTCTATTTAAGAACTCCCTATGCGTTTTTCCTACGCAAATGGAGGAAAAGGAATGTATGTTTGCTAGTCCAGGCACATATTGCAGTTTATAGAGGCAGCGATAGGGAATCTTAACTAAGGAAAGATAATAAACTGGGCATTATATCTTCATAGCTGATTCTTACAGACGAATGGCAGATCTATTAATGGACTGTGATTAATTTATGCACGCCGGTTATTTTAAGATTGGAGTTTTAAAAGCAATCCAGACTCATACTTCAATTTATTTCAATTGAAATTAGTTTATCATCTGTCTATAAAAGCTAATTTTATAGCAATCTATGTGAGGTAAGATAGTTTTATGATGGTTTGCCTAGTAAATTATGTAAACCAAACATTTTGGAGTGATTCTTTGTAGAGAGAGTTGTGGGTCTTGTCTGCCATCAGACCACAAATAATCACAAAAAATCATAGATCTTGTTTTATTCCACCTTTTCTTTTTAATGTTTACCAGAGTAAACTATCACAGAATTTCCCATAGTTAGCATTTCTTAGAAATATCTGTTATAGCACAGTGGCATCACGAGTTCCTGCCTACAGTAAGTAATGTCATTACCCAAAAAAAGATAATTTGTGTCACACAAAAAACCAAACCGGATAAGTATATAACACAATTACCCATTTAAGATAGATAGAAGACAGATTGTGAGTCCAGTCTTTGTCACCTTTGTGCTTGGTGATGTGTCCTTGCAGGAGTGCAACAGGGGAGTCCTGGCAAGAGATCATGTTATCCTGTTTGTCAGGCAAGGGATGTGAGACAGACCCTTCTTCCAATTCCTCCACACCTATAATTAAAAGTGACTGCGGCACAGATTTTGCCTACTTTTACTTCGTCTCCTTCATCTTCTTCAGTTCCTTTTTGGTAAGTTATTGCACCTTGGAAAACAAGCCTTTTTAATCTATAATGCATTTAACAAATGTCACATTCTCCTTAACCATTGTCCTCCATTAGTACAACATGATGATCAATAGTCTTTAAGTGTCTTTAAGTCATTCAGTAGTCTTGAAGGCTTCTCTAAGAGTAAGCGAATGGAGGAGAATGATTTTCATTGGACCATCAAGTCCACCCAACAGATTATTAGAAGTTCAATAATGAAAGCTTCTGTAGTCACAGGCGGAATTTAAAAACAATCCAGGCTTGTTTACATTACAATGTGTCCCTATTTTTTTTGTACAGATGTTGAACCTATTCGTAGCCGTAATCATGGATAACTTTGAGTACTTGACACGGGACTCATCCATTTTGGGGCCGCATCATCTGGATGAATTTGTTCGTATCTGGGCCGAATATGACCGAGCAGCATGGTGAGGATTGTGTCTTTAGTCATACGTTCCACCTCTTGCACCTAAACTGCACCACCTTCTACAACCACAGTAAACTCCAATTCACACTTTTTCAGTTCAGTACAAAATTCCATGGTTCAGTATGGAAGCACACACGAGCCTTCAGGACATTTCTCAATAACTTCGTTTCAGTCCCTTACCTTGTCATTTTAGTTAGAATATAGGAACAGAAAGCAACCCCTTGAGCTAGGAGATAGGTGTTACCCTGAGCAGTTAAATCTAATTTTGCATGATCAGTTCAACATTTAATTTGATTTCCTGCTTCATGATAAGTTTGCTGCTCAAGTATTAAAGAATACCTTAAAGGGGGAACTCCAACTCCAGATGTTAAAAAACCCATCATGAGGAAAGTGATGTTGTTAATTTAATATAAGCAAATAATAAGATGTAATAATTTCTCTTGTGAATTAAGTAATTAAGTAAATAAATTAATTTCTTGTAAAACTGAGGAAAAAAATTAAATATTTTATTATGAATAATGCTGAGGATTCTTACACCCAAAACCTCTGCACATTTTCAGTGAAATGACAAACTGTACTTAATTCACTATAAAAATTAAGTAAATTATGCAGACAATTGTGATATAATCCAGTGAAATATAATGCTCATTAACACAAAATATTTCTTCACATAAATCCAAACATACTCTGTTTAGTAAGAAATATACAGTACAGTATTTGTGCTTTGCTTTCCTACATTTTGGTTCTCCTTCCAAACTCTGATTCATGCAAACCTCACACTCATTACAGTTGTTTCTTTTAAGGCATTTAATTCTTTTCCAGTTGATTCTGAAATTTTGATTTTTTTTTCTTTTCTTTTCTTGTTTACAAGAACAAGTTTAAGGTTTGGCCCAATTTGCTGAAGTCCTTTTACACACAATCCATTTGTCAAAAAACACTTTCTTGATGTAGCTTTGTATATTTTAAAAGTAAATTTTAAAATACCTCAGAAGCTTATTTCAGTTTATTTGCATGCATCTAATAAGATTACAATACACCATTCATTTACTGCATCCATGTGCTCCCAACTATATTAATAACAATTTACACTCGTATTACATATAATTGTATACTGAGCTTTTTATACTGTGATATTAGTGAAATTTGAACTGAAGTGCATAATGTATTTGGAGGACTTTAGCAAAATCAGGGCAGTGGGGAGGGGACAAGCTTGTTTTTGTAAGGGAGGACACATTTTGGCGGAGGCTCTTTTCCAGTCTCTTGGTACCTGTGAGCTGTACAATCATGTGTTCACTGGCTTTGTACTCTGTTTGTGTCAGTTGCAGTGGGTGATGATCTGTTCTGCACAACTGGCACTTCAAGAATGTTAATAACCAACTCAGATACACCATAATGGTGTAAATGATTTTGTCTCTGTCTCTAGTGCTTGACGCACAGTTTTAATGTGGTGTATTTTGAAAACTGTACTATTGTATGTGGAATGATTGGTTTTCTATTTGTGACTGCTGCAGTGCCCCTTGCTACTTCTGAAATCTTCTGTACCTACAACGAGCTTGATATATGCTTGTGTTCTGTATTCTGTATGTTTGTGACCTCCTCTTTTTGCACCAGGGACTATTTCTTGTCAGCATTTTCTACGATGTGTTGTGTCTCTTCCTAAATAATGTATTTTAAACCAGTGTAACATACAGGACGATTGTCGAGAGAACAATGTCATACACTGAGCGATGAGAAGTATTGTATACATCAGTAATTCTCTTCAGCTGCTTAATTTTGATTTTATATTTTAAATGAAAGTCAGACATAAATGGTTATTTTACAGGAAATACAGTACATGAGATCAATTAATAATTCAAGTATAATGTTAGCTTGAATTCAATTACAGTTATGATTACATTATCGATGCATAATGCATTCTGGGCACTATGTTCTATGCTTTGGGCAAAAATGATGGAGGAATATAACATGTAAGACATGACTTCCATCGCATTTACTCAAACAAGTGATAATTAAAGATTCACAATACAGTGTGTCAAAACACTCACAAATCCAGTATTTAAATACATGTTAAATTCCCTTCCACATTCAGCTGCAGACTTAAAGTATTTTACCTGATAGTTACAGTGAAGCACTTTTCTGTCATTTTCTCACTACAAAAAGCAAGACTCTTCTTTTAAGACATGATAATAATTGATTGATCAAGTTCCAAAGTTGCATGTTTTTTTGAATCACCTCATGGTGATCATTCTCTTGGTTCCATATAAGCTGAGGGCTGAAACGCTGCTCCTACTGTATCTGTATGATTACACTGGTTTTTGAAACAGCCCTGCAGATGCTCTGATGTGCAGAAGAGCCTGTGTGTCCCTCAGACAGAGCTGTGCCAGCTGCTGTATCTGCATGGTATCTGTTCAGTCTTGTGTCGCCCAGCGGAGGGGCCCTCTGTGTTCCTAATGCCATGTATTTTCTTTCCAGTGGAAGGATTCACTATAAGGACATGTACAAAGTAGTGCGAACGATTTCGCCTCCTCTGGGCTTTGGAAAGAATTGCCCCTACAGGGTGGCGTGCAAGGTTTGGCTCCCACTAACTCCCCCCCCTTCTCCCAGCCCACTCAAACCCACCCCTCCCGCCCACTCTAGTCCCCTCTCCACCTCCTTTACTGCCCGCCTGTACTGGCAGTGCACGCTGCTGCTCTGGGCAAAGGAATGACTGAGCTGCTGCCACAAAGCGTAAAGAGTCAGGGCTCTCCTTAACTTCGGCAGCCCCTGTCTGTGTGATAGCTATAAAGACTTGAGAAGGGCAGGCAGAGACCAAAAGCAGCTGATGTCTTCAAATGATAGAGAGCCAGTGATAATAAGACATTCTGAAATTTAGAAGATATTTCCTTTTCTTTGGACCTAACAGGCAGGAGGAGTTACTGTATGATTACAGGTAGAGAATAAACTGTAGTGTATAAAATGGAAAAGATATGTGTCATAATGCATTTAAGTAAGGTCTTCTTTAGACTTTATGCACGTGCAGTACTGTGCTGAAAGGGGACAGCCACCTCTATGCATAGCCGGAACTCACTGGTTCAGCCAAGCAAGTTAAAACCAAATTTACTTCAGATATATATTGAACAGGGCTTGTATTTTCTTTCTGAATATGAGTTTAATTTCTAACAAAGTTTCAAGTAACATAACAATCCCATGATGATGTAATAAAGAAAACAAGGGTGACTCTGGTATGCTAAAATGTTCTTGTTTGGCCATCACAGAATACTAATGTGAATCTGACTGAGGTCATATAATGTAGGACTGCTTTGTGTAAAAAAATTAGAAGCCTGAAAGGAAGCCTTTACCAGGCTTGTGGCTTATTTTACTAGACTAGTCAAACTCCTGCAACAGTTCTTTTATAGAGGAAACTTGGAAATTCAAACTATTACAATGTCTTATTTTGAACAATTTGCTACTGTTTGTTATGTAATACAATTGTTGTTTTTGCATTATGTTTAAATAAAATACAATACTGTCATATAATAATAAATGAATAAAAATTGATGTTACAGTATATAGGCCAAAACGTTTACACAGTATTGGAAACACATATACCATATACAGTACAATATGTCTATATCATGATGGTCATATATTAAAATATAAGTAATATAAAAAAACAAGTAAAAGGTATTTACTGTATTGCTTACTAACCAGTTGGTTAAAAGTTTAAACCATATTTAGGAGAATAAAAGGATCAAGATTCTGGGTTCAAAATCCATTGTGCAAACAATCGAAATATATCTCGAGAAATATTCAGTTGACAACAATAATAATAATACAAGCCCAATTGAGGACCAAAAAAAAATTCTCACATCTTATTTCATGTACCAAAATAACCATAAACTAAAAGGCAATAAGAAACAAATGGAGGCTGGCACAGACAAGATTCAGTTCCACACTGACAGGCAAGAGGCCCGGCGTACAGTAGCTGCGTAGTTGACTGATGCCCTGTCTCTTTATGCTCTGATCTTGATGAGCTGTTGGCTTTTGGGGGTGTTGGTTGAAACCCGAAGCATGGAGTCTGGGTGGATGCACATTTTCTCCCCGGGTTTGGAAGCATGGTAGCGCTGAGAGGTTCTGGTGAGAGGGGTGTGCGTGCAGATCACAGGAGCAGACCCAGTCATTCCTTTGGACATCCCGAGATCTTTTGGTTTCTATGCAAGAGTGCCAAGGTTGCATAGAAAGACTAAACTTGGTTTTGATTTTGATCTCATTTTCCCTGTAGCTCCTCCGTATTACTAGCACTGAATAACCTTCTCTTCTATTCTGATAATTCTCTCTCTTTTTCCCCCCTTTCTTTTTGCTCCTCTCCGCCTCTCTCCTTCTGTTCCCTGGGAATGCCTGCCTCCTCCCTTCCCATCTGCATTGCACCCTGAAACCTCCAAAGTGGCCGTATTCATTACACTGACATGTATGAGATGCTGACCCACATGTCTCCACCGCTAGGCCTCGGAAAGAAATGTCCTGCCAAAGTCGCTTATAAGGTAGTCGAAAATACAACAAAGACGAGTTTTCCTTGTTGCGATGAAAAGGAAATTTGAGTAACACTAGTCAAAGCAAAGCCTTGCAGTTAAATGTGATCTTTCTTTGATTATCGTTAGTAGTCTGAAGCTGCGTGGAAGCTTGTGAGGCTTTTTGTGATTTCTTTTTAAATGATGGGTGAGTCAGAGGTTTGGTCGCCGCAAAAGCAGTAAGAATTGCATGACTTCAGAATCAAGTACATGAATGAAATGGCGAGTTTGGGATTTCTTTATGGGGAGCAGTCACTAAGGTGAGATGCTAATATTGAACACTGGAGCATGCAATGCTCAATGTGTGCTGGGTGGATCTCAGAGCACTGTCTGCTCAGCATGAAAAGCGTCAGTTTAGTTGTCAGTGTGTGTGGGAATCTGATGTTCTGTATTAAACATACAGTAACTAAAAATGCTGTATAGAACAATATGGTTTTTAGGTAAAATGCCTGTGTGATAAGTCTGTTTGAGAAAAAAATACATCCAATACCTTATCATATTTATAGATAAGGGCTAAAATGCATTAGTGTGCAAAACCAGATACAGTAGGTAGGAGCCTTAAACTCTGCTACTGAGGTCAGGAAAAATGGGTTATACTGCCAAGAAGCTGAAAATGTTTTTTGTTGAAATAAAGGCCTGTATTTCTTTGTATATTGGTTTATTTCCAGTTCTAATCAAGCATGTTTCAGATTAGTAAGAGGAAAATTTGTCTTGACCTCATTGATTCAGATGGAAGACGGACATTTTGCAACTCATTCCTTTATTATTGCTGTTGTGTGAATTGCCTGTGCTAGTATTAAGGAAGCTCAGTATGAGTCTGTATCACATTTGTGGCCCATGACTTTCTTCGACAAGGCAGTGTGGGGGACAAAAGTCAAAAAGAATGTTGTGAAAGAGCGAAGGCTTAAAAAAGGAAGTCATATTAACGTATACAATTAATTAGTTGGACCTTGGTTTGAATATTCACCGCACATTAAGAATGATATTCCTAATACTAGCAACCAAACTAATCTTTGGTCTAAAGGAATGTCATATAATATGTAGAAAGATAAGGGAACTGAATATTTTTGGCCTGGGAATGAGTAGATCACACAGGCTATTCAGGTTTTCAAATTGCTGAAAGGCATTCACCAAGACAAATAAGGAGACTCCTTCAATATCAACAGCAACACAAAGACCCGGGTTCACAGGTGGAAATTATGTTTAGGACTATCACAAGCAGGGGGATTGTGGGAGTCTGGAACCAGCTCCCTATGGAAATAATTACCTTTTTCATTATTACCCTGTTGATCGGATAATTGCCTGGAGAAGAAGAAAGCTAAGTGATACCAATTCATGCTGAAACAACACATCTTTCTTCTACTAACACTTCCGTTAAGCGGAAGATTATCCATTAAAAGCACCTTGTTTAAAGATATTACTGTAAGTATCTAAACTCTAGGTGCTTCACTTAAGTTAAAGATTCCATGACCTTCATACTTTCATGCTTTTAAAATTTTGATTGTTTTACAACTTGCCTGAAAGGCAGCATGGTGGCTCAGTGGTTAGCATTACTGCCTTGCAGCTCTGGGATGCTGGTCTAAATTTCAGGATTCTGTCTGTGTGGAGTTTGTATTTTCTTTCTTGGGTTTTTGCCAGATGCTCTGGTTTCCTCCCACAGTACAGTCAGTACCAGTCCAGCCTGGTAGATTAATTGGCTTCTGGGAAAATTCGTGTTGGTGTGTATCTATGTATGCTCTGCAATGGACTGGTATCCAGTCCAGAGTGTTTCCTGCTTTGCTCCCATTGCTTGCTGGGATAGGCTCCAGCTCTCCTATGACCCTCTATTGGATAAAGCTGTTAGAAAATAGATTTAAGATAAAATTATCTTCCAAACATTGTTAATTCTGGAGAAAAAGTAGTAAAAAAAACATGACTGTTTTGCTGCAGAGCCATCAAAAAATATTGTTTTCTGAATTGTATGTCAGATGAATAGAAGTGTCCTGTAACATGGGGCAACAGAGTGCCCAGGTGAAGCTACAGGTTGCCACTATGTTCTTCATTCCTTTGCATGTGCATGCTGACCTCTACTTCCACAACTGTCCCTATTTCTCACTCCTTTTGTCTTAAAAATGTGAAGTGTTTGCATGGACAGATAGATGGTCAAGGGTCTCCGGCATGCAGGTTGTGTCCCATTTCTCTTTTTGGTCTTTGCTGAAAAGGCACTGGTTATGTGGTTGTAGGAATATACAGTAAATCTGCAAGGAGTGTTTCCTTTAATGAAAAAAAAAAACAGAAATAGTAGCTGCAAGTGATGTTTTGCATGTCCAGAAAATGCTGCACAATAAAAAAGGGCAACTCTTGTGTGTCACTAAGATACAGTATCTTTTACCAGCTTACTTCATGCTTCTAATTAATGTCGATGTCCCAAATGTTTTTTCCTCATGATGTGATTAATTTTAAACGTTACAGTCTGTGATTCAGAAAGAACAGGACCCAAACACAACTTTTTAGATTCCGAACTTTAAAACCTTTACTTCCAAAGTAAAGTAATCCAAAGATCACTATCAGCCATTTATTTTAGGATATCTGATGATAGCCTTTCACAGAAACATATGTACCCATTAAAAATGTGGTTATAGGATGTGCCCCAGTTTATGTCCATTTGGTACAGTATCATTCATTTCCTAGTTTCTGTTCTTTTTACACCAAAACAACAAAAGTCTACCTCAGATCAAACAAAAAACAATGCCTTCTATTGAAGAATTTCAGCAAAATAATTTTCTTGCACTGTTTCTTGACAATGGTTTCCTTCTTATTACGGTTGCTCATTTAAGGATGTGATACAGGAACCTGAATTACCAGAAAAACAGTATTTTGCTGAAAAAAGATAAGGTCTTGGGCATAACAATATTACACAATCCACACATAAAAAATCACAATTTGCATGTAGAATGATCTGTTTTTTTGTGATTTAGGGAATAGACATCAATGATTATCTCTTGAGGCTCAGTTTTGGGGAGCACTTTCTTCTGGAACAAACTAAATTCAGACTGTGGAGCATCTCTTAATGCTGATCGGGACAGAAACGCCTATATAAGCCTTAGGATGTACAGTTTATTAGTCAACAGTGGCATGCATGTCACTACTTGATCACTTGCTGGAACAATAGGATTCTGTCCGTTCTCCCCATAGCAAGGGGAATCTTGAAATTTGTCCTGCCTGTGCTTGACATTGCATTTCAATAGTTAATGTCTAAAAAATGTTTTTATTATATTAACGAGAAATGCATGCTTAAATGTTTGTTAGAGTCATTTAACAATGACAGGATCCCTTTTAACCTTTTTTACTTAGTACTCAGACATATTAGTATTGACTATACAGGTAATACATGAGTTGTAGCATTCTGCTGGCTAATGTAATGGGGAACTTCAGAGAAAAACCAAAATCAAAGTTAAATTATACCAAACTGTAGCTTATAACATACTGTATTAGTTTTGTCATGCCCTGTCATGCCCAGTGTTGTTCACAGCCCATAGCTGGTGTTTCCAGACAGACCCTTTAGCGTGTTTGAGCATTTGAGTTTTCACACATTAACCTGTTATGCCCTGGGCTGCTATTTGATATATTTGTTCATTTTTTTATTTTTAAGTATAAATTAACTGCTGGAGTCAATACCTTTCTTCAGCAGCTGGCTATAGACCATTCATTAACAAAAAAGTAGATTCTGTATTTTGAATTATCTTGTTTTTTTACACTATGAAAGATATAAAATGGCTTTTCTAGTGAATACTGTATATACAAGTAGAAAACAGTAGAAAACAATACTAGCAGGGCTTTTGTTAAAGCAGGCAGAAGAATATACAGTACATACAGTACTGTACTTTGATAACTTTTATTCCAAGGGGTTGAATCAAACACACAGCATTGATCACACTCCAGCCTTTAATTTATATTATTTCAGTTAACAGGCAAAGGTAAATGTAAAACTCAGAAGAGAAACACAGTGCTCCATACTATCTGTAGGTATTCAGTGTCTTAATAGTGATCATCAATTGTCTGTAACTTTAAGAAAAGGACAAAAATCTGATTCTTCTTGGATCAATTATGTCTTCTCTGTTGAGCCCTTTTCCATATTGCAGTGAGAATGGAGTGCCTAGAGGATTTATTGAAAAATATGAGTTCCTTTGTCAGGTGCATGTGTTACTCTATTATTTACCACTATAAACGCCTCTTCAAAAGATATTTATCTCTGCAGGGTGCAGGAAATTATTCCCCTGTTTTCAGTAAGATTGACACATGGGCTCAATATATTGTGATGGCACTAGTCAATCAAATCTTTTGAGTAGACACTATGAAAATGAAACATTGGCAAGTGCAAGGTGATCCACATACAGTACATAGTAGCAATATACAGCATGCTATCCATATCGCATGGGTGATTCTGCAGGAAGTTACGCATGAAAGGAATCTGAGTGATTATGTAGGCTTGTTCTGTCGGCATCAAGACAATGTAAAGAAGCAATTAAAAAGCAAAGAAAATGGTTGCACATATTAAAAGAGTGTTGAATTAAAATCCAGTGAAATTGTGTTTAAAATTTACAATATACTAGAAAGCCTTTGATTAGAATAGTTTTTAGTTTTGGTGATCACACCACAAAAAAGATATCATAGCCTGAGAAAGAGCATAAAGAAGAGCATCAAGAATGATTCCTCTTCTATAGAGTTTGTCATAGATAAACAGGATAAAGGTGTTCAGTCTCTTCAGAGTAGAAAGAAAGGAGATTGAGAGACCTTTTTAATTCAGGTATTGTACTGTATATAAGATCCTAAGATCTTAGAAAAAGAATATATTTAACCCAGGGGACCAAACCCATGTAAATTCAGGTTTCGCAAGTAGTGAAGCAAAGACAAGATATCATGATTGAAAGCTAAAAGGAAATCAATTTTAAAGGCCAGAAGAAATTTTTGATTCACCTCTACAAGGATATCAAATTAGCAAATGAGCCGAAGGCTTCCTCTTATTTGCAGCCCTTCTCATGTCCTAGTAGTTTCACTGCGTTCTCAGGACATCGTTAGGATGCCTGTGCCTACAGTGCTCCTCAGCTCTCGAAAAAGTGAGCAAATCAGAGACAAACAGAAGAACCTAATGCACAACCTATCCTGGAGATGAACACTGATGAAGGTCAATCTAGAAAGACCTCTGCTCCACAAGTCCATTTAACAAGCCACCCCCATTTATAGACCTACTGGAAGAGATAGAGGAAAATCACATAATGTAGAGTGCTTTGCTGGCAGGTTCTGGATACTGAAACGTCCACTACCTGAGACCAAACCTTTGTTTCTTTGAAAAACCAACCTTCCACACGTAATGTCAGTTCCCATTCTACCTGTCCAGCCGCAGTGTCTCTGTATCCCAAACATCCTGGTCTGAACCCACAACTGATACAAGACAATGTTCTCTCCGAATAGAGATGGGTCAGCTTTTTAGACTGTGTTTTAGATCTAGAAGCAGTGATGCCTTCCCTTACCAATAGGAAAGCTACCAGGCTCATCTCACGTGGGAAATCACCTGATATGTCATACAGTATTTGCAGAAATCAGTAGAGATTTTGGTGCATTTTAGTTATAGTGGTTCTGCAGTCCCAATCTGAGTACATTCCGGATGGGATGTGATTTGCCTTCTTTAAATATTTGCTCAACCAATAAATATACAGTATGGACATATCAGGATGAGAATTTGTGGTTTTGGTAAATAATTTAAAAGTTCCTTTCTGAATACACATTATTGGAAAACAAATAATATTTAAATATTTGGAAAAAGTGAGTAAGTGTATTTAATAGGTGTAAATGTATACACAGTGGCTGTTAGAATTATTCTTCCCAATTGGACTTTTTCACATTTTATTGTTACAAGATGGAATCATAGTGTATTTATACCTAACCATGAAATACCTATGAAAACGCTGGCTCAAGTTCCTACAGTATATCTACATGGCAACAAGTCTCCCCTTTTGGTCTGGTAATTCATCAAGTGCTGTGATGACAAGATTTGGATGATTATTGATACCACCTTAGCCAACACTTGCCTCGTTACTCCTAGGTATTTAAACCCCGCTTTTTCAATGCCTTAAGCTTAGTCATCGTTTTTTTTTTCTCCTCCTTTCTTGGCATCCTTAACACTCACAGTATCTTCTTTTGAATCTCCTTTCTTTTTTTACTGCTGCTTTTAGATCTTTTGGATCTCCATGCATCGAACTTGCCCGTTTGACAGATTTCACAGTATTTTTTTCCATTGATAAGACCCAAAACTCTATAATGTCAAAATGAAAATAAAATTCTACAGATCCTCTTCCATTAATTATAAATATAAAAGAGGAAACACCTAAATAGACTCTAGAGCAACTAATTATGTGTAGAAGTCACTTAAGACTATAGCTTCAAGTAGCCTTGACTAAGGTTGTAATGTAATTTTAGAAATTACCATCACTTCCTGGAATAATGCCCATATTGAATTATGTTTCCAACATAAGGTATAATTCAGAGTTATATGTCAGGCTGATCTCAAAAACATTGCATGGCTTGGGTCCTTTTCTTTGCGTAATACAGACTGGGCGATGTGGCACAGGCTCTTCCTGCTTATTCAACCTCCATTACTGGTAGCATGGCAGGCTTTACGTATTGCCAGTAAAACAGTTGTTAGGCAGCCCAGTGTAACAGGCACTCTGCACCACTCTTGACTACTTGCAGGACCTATCTGTGACAAAACTGCATCTGATCTCCTCTTTGTTGTGTGATCCTTGCAGAGGTTGGTGCTAATGAACATGCCTGTAGACGAAGACATGTCCGTGCACTTTACCTCCACTTTGATGGCGCTGATCCGGACAGCACTGGAGATCAAAATAGCAAGAGGTGAGACAAGCTGAGTCCCAAAGGTGACGACCTATTGAGCTGTCCATCATTCTCTGTTACTAGAGTAAAACAACATAAATTCAGAATTTCTATTTTACATACAGTAGCAGTTATCAGCCCAAAGCACTTTCACATACAATAGAAAGGGACACACTTTATCCCCAGCTGAACTGCAGAACTTACCTGGATGATATACAGCAGCTAGTAGCACCAGAAAACCCACGACACAGCACATCAGGTGGAGTGAGAAACTGCTTCACCAACTGAATTTAGCAGTAACCTCAGAGAGGCCAGTTTCTATAAGCCCAGAGAGAACGTTTTCCAATAAGGTACTCTCATGAATCATGTGCCGTACAATCTAAGTAGTCAGGACCTCTAATTAAGAACTCATCCAGAGGAGATCACCTTCTACAGCACAATGTCCCTTATCATCATAATGGGTAATTCATTTGGAAACTCTGATCTATAAGGAGGAGCGCCACCTTCTATTCCACCAGCACCACTTACAGCAGAAACCTATTTTATCTTGGAGTTCTCCCATCCTACTACTGACCAATCCCGGCTTACAGCCCGAGTATAGAAGTCCTTGCCAGAGCCACAGCTAGCAATTTTAAAATATCTGAGTGTATAATTAAAGAACCTCCTCCATACTATATTATACACTGACTCTTTTTTTGCTGGTGTTCGTATTATTCAACAACTTGAGATCTGCTAATCCTAATGAACATTGTGTGCACTGTGACTCCCTGGCCTCTGTCCCCTGTGCTCTTTCACCATGTCTCCAGGAGGAGAGGACAGACAGCAGCTGGACGCCGAGTTGCAGAAGGAGATTAATGTCATCTGGCCACATCTCTCCCAGAAATCATTGGACCTCCTAGTACCCATTCACAAAGGTGAGCTGCACATGAGTGTGATCATTTCCACACATTTTTAAATTTAAAATTTTTAGAGTTTTAAAATGAATGTTTTGCAACAAATCATAAGTATGATTTGAGAGACTTCTTTAAAATGTATGGCCTTATTGACTTTAGTGCACTTATTAGGGCCGATTGAATTCACATTCAGTCCTGTAAATAAAGTACAGATTGGCCTCTGTTTGGAAGGCAGTTTTGCAAAACAGCTGAACATTACCTTGACCATTCTTCTTCACCAACCTTCTCAGTGCTGTTGTGCTCTTTTATGTGAAATAAGTACATAGCTGCTTCAAAGTAAACTAAACAGACGTGAAACAATTTCACAGATCTGTGTAGGTGCTTTGAAAACAAAAAGAAGAAAACATCGGCACATCTGTCTAGGTGTTATATCACTAGCATGTAGGACAGTCACAGGGAAAACAGACAAACCCCTACACAGGTCATTGCCACCAGCCAAGGAAAAATGTTCAAAACATTGCAAATGTCATAACATTGTTAAAAAATAAGTCTTCTTATAAGAAGACGATATTTGCCAATATTAATTAGTTATTTGTCTTTTAATTAAATCAGTAATCACTAAAATGAACATATGTGGGATTAATCCATTCAAATTCCTTTTAAAACATTGATTTAGTGTCTTGTAAGTGTGCCAATGTGTGTATCAAATATTTTACAGCTAGCGACATGACCATTGGGAAAATCTATGCTGCAATGATGATAATGGATTATTACAAGCAAAGCAAAGCTAAAAAGCAGAGGCAACAGCTTGAGGAGCAGGTACACAAGTCTCATTCTTGTTTCATTTTAAGGGCAATGTAAAAAGCCCTACAATGGCCGTAAATGTGTTCAAACTTTAGCTTAAACTGTGGTGCGCTTCTCCCAGGATTTGAGAGAAGGATTTAAACATCAAAAAGCACGATAGTGAAAGCCATGCAATTTTTCTTTCAGAAAAACGCTCCAATGTTTCAGCGAATGGATGCTTCATCCCTTCCACAGGAGATCCTGTCAAGCGCCAAAGCTCTGCCCTTTCTGCAGCAGAGTACAGGCTCAGGGCTGTAAGTGTACCCAGTTTGGTGAGGATGTATCGGCCCCTAGTGGTTACTTGTGAATGGTGCACCAAGACCTTTTCTGTCCTGATCATATTGTAAAATGTTTTCTTGTGTTTTTAGCTCTGTTTCTAGGACTGTTTTTAAGATTGATGTAACAACTTTAGACAGCAAAGAACAGAAAAGAGGATGAATTGTTTTTCCACCTTCAGACCCTCCTGAATTATATATTGAAATACAGAATTTATCTGACCCTCACTAAAATGCTGTCAAAACCACACAGTTCTAGTGTAGAATTGCTTGAACTTTGCCTGACAGACTCGCTGACATAGCTCGATATTGGAAAGTTAACTAGTACGTATATGGGTCTGTCTGAGTAACAATTCTAAAAAAAAATGTTTAATAAAATGGGCTGGAGCCTATCCCCTGAGTGAGAGCTGTGTCTGTGGATGAGTGTATCTGTGTTATCGGAAGGACCATAGACAGTGTGTGTGTATTCTCAACAGGACCAGAGGTGGATTTGTGGCTCTGAGCCCAATCTCCCCTCAGGAGATGTTTATTCATCCCAGATCTCCGGATATGGAGATGAAAGAAGACTTCCATGCACACCACTCTCTGGTAAGGAAGGAGAGACAGCCTGCAGAAAATTAAAATGAGTTCAGTATGGATTATTTATACGTAGCTGTGAATTCATCTCTTTCAATGAAATGATACAAAAAAATATTATAGAACCCTGTGCAGTAAGTATCACTCCTTAAAGAAAGAATGGAACAGGAACATCAGGCATATTGCTGTCCTCACTGGAACCTCCTGTGAATATGAGCTCTTTTCTGTGCAAAATGGGAAAATTCATTTTTGAGCTTCCTCAACAAATGTTGCTTCTTTCTAAAAGGTATATAAAAAAATATTTGAAGGTATGATGGGTGTGTTTGAAAATCTCATAATCGGTTCATGCAGCACTATACTGTATGTAATCATCATTAAGAAACAGTTCCTGAAAATAAAGAAATGATTGAATGAGAGTTTTTGAGAGTTGGTACTGATAGCAACAAGTTGTTACTCTGACCTGGAATGACAGATTTAGGGGTGTCATTGGATTGCGTTTTTCTTTTTTTTTTGTATTTTTCTAGATATGATCAAACTAATGCTTGTTGCAAAGCAATAAGAGATTAGAAGATTCTCTACCAGCCAGTGCCTGTCTTCCAATAAAGTACATTCCACTTAAAGTCCACATAAATCTTGTTGCCTTTATAGACTTCTGAAGAACTGAACATTAAGGATGTGTGGTTTTCAACCAACAAACAAGATTTCAATTATTTATGACATACAGCAGCTGCCCAGCTGGGAAATGTGCAGTGCAGTCCTAGTTTTTCGCTTGTCTCTCTCATTGCTGTTTATGTCATTTAATATGAGTGCATTTCTGCATTATTATGACAGTGCCAAATACAGATCGCAGTATACTGATGTTTGTCTTAAATTTATTTACCAAAACAAACAAATCTGGCAAATGGCTTCTCTTGGCCCTTGCAGACCCATTGTTTGACAACACTGTGTAAAAAAGAGGCACTGGTACTCATTTTCATCAGAATGTTCTTACTGTAACTTGTCCATATATGGTTGTCATAAATGTCATCAGTGGAAATCTCATTCAGTCATCTTTGTTTGATTTTATTCTGCATTCTACAGTACATACTGTATAACAAAAAATGCTCTAGGTCCCAGAAATATCAGAGCTATTGCAGCTCTCTACCCATCTCAGCCAGTGCTCTCCCCTAACTGTGCCAGCATTATTGTATCATTCCACTTCATCCAGATGTCAAGATTGCTTACTTTCTGTTCTGTTTCCTCAGGCATGGTTTGCCTTGAACATCTGTCTTGTCTTTCTTTGCCACCAAGCATAAGGTTTGTCCGTAGCAGTTTGCTAAGTAGTAGTAGTTTCTTTTTCTCCCTTTATGACAATGGTTAACATCAACCCAGGTTGTTCTTCACCTCCTACATTGTAACCCTGAACACTGAGCAGCAGCTGTTGATCTATAATTTAGGCCTGGGAATATGTTACGTTTGAGCTTTTTGAAGCTTCTTGATTTCTAGTATTGGCCAGTCTTTTTTGGTGTGCTTTACTTTGGTCTGGGAAAGGATGATTAGCAGTAGCAGCAACAATAATAATAACCTTGCTATTTTATATAGCTTCTTTCATGGTACATCATCTCTCTCACCTGCAGTACTTATCTTTTCTGCCTAAGACTACTGTTTAGGACTTAACTGGAAGAAAAGTCTAATAAACACTTGAAAGGCTGCTTCATATTTTTACGTCTGTTCTTTTTAAGGTCTTATTGTTGGCTTGATGATCTTAGACCTTCAAGATCATAATCATCTCATTAGCCCAGTACATGCCTGACACTTTTTGTTTGCAGGAGGCCTCTTCTTTCTGCCTACATGAAACTTTTTGAATTTGCAATGGCAAGATAGTATATACATTTTAATCTGATCTGAGCCTTAATTTAGGTTTATTGTGCAAAACCAAAGTATAAATGCCTTTCGCCACTGTTGATTTTTTTCAGTATTTCTTAAGGATTTCTGAGCTACACAAAAGCCTTTATTTTCCTCTTAAAGAAACGGGAAATACTGTATGTGTTTTGGCATGTGGTTTGAAACCTGGGAATCTCTTATACAGTCGTCCATCTAGACCTTCTCTTCTTGGTGCATGCTGAAGTGCCGGTGCTTGCGTTCCCAGAAGTGATATCTGCAGGATTCTTTCGCTGGAGGGACAGGCCCACAAATTCTCTGGTCACTTTGGAGAATTTTGTTTCCTCCAAACACCTAGGTTGCCCCCTGTTTTCAGATTTCCGAGAGGTCTTCAGCATTGTGTGTCTCACAAACTATTCCCCCATGTCTGTGCACTTGAATGCGTACAGGACATGTTACTGTACATCTTCTCACTTAGAAATCCTTGAGTGCTGTGTTTTAGTTATTCTGCACTTTTCCATGGCTCTTGAAGAAATACACATATTGCCACACCTTCTTTGCACTTTTAATTATTGCCCATTTCCACTGCCTTCCTTGGGAGCTCTTCCCAGTAACAAGGATTCTTATTTTTTGGTCCATTTGCTTTCAGACAAAAGGAAACCTCTGTAATAATGGCGTGAATCTGAAGATTAACGTTGAACCTGGAAATATGCATCCTCACCTAGGCCGGTTTCCTTGCAACTGGGCACCAGTGCTCTCTTTTTTTCCCCCACAAAGGATGACAAACTCTCTTTCACCATGGATATCTGGTGAAAAAAATGGAAGTGGACTACGTCAGCATACTGCATTTTGCCTGTTTGTGGCTTTCTCTTTCAGAGCACCAGTGGTTACTTTTTTAGTAACCTGACACTGTGCCACAAAGTGTGTTTCAGAAACTGTTGTGTTTTCTCCCTCTTTCTTCTGATATGTAGGTGCCGGAGCGAAAAGAGTTTAATGGCCTGCTTTGCCCCACTAACAGGCAGTGTGTTCCCCTTGATGTCCCAGGGCGGGCAGTATCAATCCGAGCCTCCTCTTTGCCTCGGCTGGCAGTAGAAGCACAGGTACAACCTCTACATTCTCTTGACACTGTAGGTGTGGTGCCAGATGCTGTCTGGGAGGACCTCTTATTCTGTTTCCTGCGCGACCTGGATTAAAGGTGGAAGCAGATCAGTATAGTGAAGCAGGGCATTGTCCTGAAAGGGCACATTTCGCCTGTGTCTTCTTGAGGTGCTGCATGAACCGATTATTAGCATTGAGCTGCTTTTGCGGGTTGCAGTTTTTGGTGATGGCAGGAGTGATGGCAGATTAAACACACAAGTGGTAAGATTGGATATAAAAAATATATTTATGGTGTCATTGCTTGTGTGACAAGGGTGAAAATGGCACTTCAGCAGGGGTGAAAATGGGGTGAAAATGGCCAAAGTTTAGGCATTCTTGCATTCTGTGATTTAATATGAGCGTAACGGTACAATTATTATTTTTACAGGTGTAACAGAAGAGTGAAAAATAACAAATAGGGCATTTTTATACTTTATGTGAATCAGTGGGTGTTTTGTAAGGAGATTTTTAATAGTCCTTTGTTCATATTATTTCATATACTGACATTTCTAGTCCTTTCATTGACAGATAATTTCTTATAAAATATTTTAAATATTTTTTTTATTCTAATTTTTCTGTGGAATTGTGATCTGACCTGCTGTGTTAATGTTTTAACTGGACATTCACTGTATATATCTTTTACCCCACAATGGAAATCATTAATTTCAGAACCATTCAGTACATACCGCAGTGTTGAAATCTGCAATCTTACCATCATTTTTTTCCACTGTTTCCAGAAGAGGACAATTCACCTGGGGCATTAGAAAATGGCTGCTACATGCCCTAGCTTTGTTCTTCGTGTCTTTGTAAAATGAACTGTTGGAATCCATCCTTAAAGTTTACCATTAAAAAACTTAGTATCAAACTGTAAAATTTATTTTACTATTCTACTGATATTTCCACTAAGAAAGTTACTGATGTATGTTTTATATATTGTATGAGCAGAATCCACTTTTCTCCATTATCAGTGAGTGGTTTGTTCCACTTGAAAATAGTTCATTGACCAAACTTCTCTTTTCAGGTGTAATGTGCTAGTTTCCAACTGAAACTTCAGTATTGTTTTTTCAGTCGTATTATAATAATGGTACTGTAACTCAGCTGAAACCTTTTATCCAAGGTATCCAAGGTAGAGAAACGAAGGAGTGAATCATACTTCCATGACTACTGCTGCACAGTCATTTATAATCACTCAGTTTAACATCTTACTCAAAGTACAGGCAGTCCACTTACGGCAGGGGGCCAGACGGTGAGTCAGAACAGAGGCTTTTGGGAGCCAGCCCTTTACCTCAACACCCGGACCAATTGACCTCAAAGTAGCTAGATCATTTCAAGTCTTTCTAACTGCTCTCTAATGGCGTTTCACATTAACTCAGGTCATGACGGACAGCAGCACAATGAAGCGTTCTTTTTCCACTATTGGGGACCAGCGTGTGAACGGACTGTGGTTGGATGAGTATTCCCTGGAAAGAGTCAGTCCTGACCGTCTGTACAGACCTCGACAGCGGAGCTACAGGGGTTCTGGTCAGTCGCACTTCAAGCATGATAATGACAGATAAGGAGTCCAGTTTTGCTTTTGGACAAACCATGGGCAAAAAGGTGCTTTATAAGTTAGAAGATTGATTGGTTTATTGGTCTATTGGTTGAGTGGTTGTTCGATTGTTTGGTTGATTGGCTGGTTGGTTGATTTGTGAATTGATGGATAGATAGAGGGATGGGTGGGCAGTTAGTTCACAACAAGCGCAAGCGTCAGGATCTAAAATTAAATTTTTCACATGCAGGATACGTATGTTCTCCTTGTGTTGGTACCTGCAAATTGCTTTCTAATAAAAGAAGTGAAATTATTATGTTTTTCTTAATTATTTGTCTTAAGAAAAGCAAAATACTGTATCTTTTCTCTTTTAATGCAATCTCTAAATAATATTTTAGTATTTTTATACAGAACATGCCACCTTCATAAGTTACTTATTACTCATTTTTCCAGCTTCGTGTTTGTCTTTTGCTTTGTCCTTGGTCCTTGTAAATCTTTCATTAATCATGTTAATTCATTAATCAATAAGGGAAAAGTATTAAAGGCGAATAACCTTTTCAATGAAAGTTTTTAGCTTCTTGATTGGCTGTTCCACTTACACACTGAGTAGAACTAAACTGCATTGCCGCATTGCCACAACCCTTTTTTATTCCGTTTAATCAGTTTATTAACCAGAACAAGTGATTAAATGAGCTTTTGTACCAGGCATTCACAAATGAATAAATAATATGCATTATTAATAAATAATAATATAGTGTGTCCAAAGCTGTATGGCCATGCCTTCTCAGCTATGCTTCTGTTCTTCAAGGATTTTAAGTGTTATTGTCTAAAATAATCAGTGGATTTTTAAAAGTCCTAAAAATTACATTTTAACCCTATGCCCTAAATTAACTTAAGATCTGATGTGGGATAAAACAAAAAGAATATGCAGGGATCTTTAAGCCCCTCTGTTGTGTGTTCTGTTGTCTTGTGGAGTATCTTCAGTATCTCCACTAAACGTACTGAGCTCTTTACTGCACTTTCAGGTCATAGAATTATCTACCTTTTGCAGCGGATTGAGCACACATGCTTCTGTCCCTTTCAGAAAAGCAAAACAATACATACAGTACCTTTACTTTTAAACCTATAAACTCCTCAGTTGCTGTTTTTAATCTTGTTTTCTACAGTCTCTTTATATGTTGTATGAAACAACACGTCCCTTGCCCCAGTTACCACGTGTTTCTCATCATTTGAAAAATTGCGTCCGAATATCTGCTTACAACCGCTTATTGGTTAAACCTTCTCCACAATCTGCTTTATTGGAACCTCAGGTTTAAAATCGGACCACCGGCAGCCAGGGGACAGGGAAAGGGGCCGATCCAAAGAGCGCAGACACCTGCTGTCCCCTGACGTGTCCCGCTGTAACTCTGAGGAGCGCAGCCAACACCATTCCCGGGAACGCAAGCATTCCAGGTCCCCCAGTGAGGGCAGGTCACACACGCCCCACAGACAGGTGGGCATCATGCGCCGTTCTGTCTGGAAGGCTTTGACTATAAAGTCCCATGTGTTTGTGCAGTGGGTGCATACAAGTGTTGAGAATTCTAAACGAACAGAAGCCTAAAGGAATTGGTCTCTACAGATTTGCAGGGCTGACACCCATCTTGCAGTGAGACAGGAACTCTGATCTTCCAATTCACAAATTATTCATTAAAGACACATAGAGTCCCACCTCCCATAATAGACAGAGGTTAGTTCCTATTAGGAGTCCACTGCCCGTGCGTGTTTTTTGTAATAAGGAAATTTACAAATTAGGGGAGATCATTCAGTCCATCTCTTTTGTTTGGTTGCTAATAAGTAAATGATGTGAGAATCCCATCCAGCCATTTTTTGAAAGATCCAATGGCATCAACTTCAACTACATGGCTGGACAGTTTGCTCCTGACACCTCCCACCTTTTGTGTAAAGAAGTGCTTCCTGTTCTCATTCCTAAATGCACTGCCTGTTAATTTCCATCTGTGTCCTGGGGTCCTTGCTTCATTTGTTTTTAATTCTGCAATAGTCCTTAGTGGGTTATTTTCTGTGGCTTTCTGTAACTTTGAAGCGAAGGCGTTTGTCTCTTCCCAGGGCACCAGCTCGGACAGTCCAGTCCCCTCCACATCGGAATCCAGCACGCCACGCGGCCGGCGTCAACTTCCCCAGACACCCTCTAGGCCACGGCCACACATCTCCTATTCGCCCCTGGTGCGCCGTGCCCACCCTTCCCCGCCAGGTGATGGGAGCAGCCCGCGGACCCAGGAGGCAGAGTGCGGGGACCAGGCCTGGGGAGAGGGGGCCACATCTGGGCAGGGTGGTAGCCACCGCTCCACCCCGCACCGCTACATCTCCGAGCCTTACCTGCCCCTGCACGAGGACTACAACAGCCCCGACTCTGCCGGCCTGGAGGAGACACTCACTTTCGAAGCCGCTGTGGCCACGAGCTTTGGACGCTCCAATACCATCAGCTCGGCGCCGCCACTGCGGCACAGCTGGCAGGTCCCCAACGGGCACTTCCGCAACCGCCTCTCTCAGTCCAGCTCGGTCGCTGGCTGCGAGCTGTTCAGCGACACAGACGAGGACGACCGCTGCTAGGTGGCAGGGAAACCATGAACGGACATTTGGGAAGAGACTTCCTGCCCAGCGGGGCTGTACCCTTACTTACATGTGTGTATGTGTGTGGGCGTGCGTAAGTGTGCCAAATTTAAAGAATAAGAAACAGGGAGGACTGGCATAAGCATGTGGGCAATGGTTTTGTTTTTTGTTCCTTTGCCTCCCCCCATGTACTCACTGAAAGGTGTCCTAAGTGCTACTTCAACAGTGTTCCTCCCTAAACAGTTTATGTCCTCTTCAGAGGTGGTTATTTCACTTTTCCCTCACTAGTATCTTCACTCCACTGCCTGGAGGCGATCTTTTAAAAAGTCTGTCACACTGGGGCTGCTTTGGCTTTGTGGATATTTATCCCCTCTCACGCATGGAATTGAATTCTTAAACACTAACGGGGAAGAAAACTCTCTCCATTGCAAAAACTCTGAGCTCACTCTAGAGCAGAAATATTATAGTGTGTAACATCAAAGGACACTTCAAAGAAATGAATCCTACAGTTGTTGTTTATGTGTGAGCATATCAGCAGAAGTTAATGTCACAGAACAATACGTTTATGAGCATCACCTTTTAGAATAAAGAAAACCAGAACTGCCAGATGCCATAGGCCAGACTCACAAGAGATTAGCTAAAAAAGTTCAGTCCACCTCAAAACCAATTAACTTTTCTGATTTTAGAGATATTAAGAAAAAAACAAATTTCGATTCCTGAAGTTAATTTTTTCCAAGTTTAAAATCTTAATAATAATCTGACCAGAGGGAGACTTTTTTATTAGTCTGATCTAACCACTCAGATCCCTAATTAATGTGTTAACGTTATGATACAACTGAAAGCAAACTCAGAGAAATCATGGCACCACAGTCAAATTGTGTGCAAATTGCTGGCAGCCTTCAGTTCCTACTTACCTGTACTACTGTAAATGTGAGCCTACCTTTAGGTTTCCAGAGCTTATATCTACATGCAACATTATATTAAATGAGCTGCTTCCTGTTTTTCAATTTTGTTCAAAGCAGGTTGCCAATTAAAGATTTCTAGTCAGATGGCACTCGAGCAATTTTAAAAGATATTAATTTTCAACATCAACAAAGCTTTAGATCATTTGCTCTGCAAAACCTATTTCCTGGAAATACACTGAACTTATTTTCTACAAAATATTTTAGATAGTTATTTTATGTTCTGAGGTTTATTTGAGAAACAATTACATTTGATATTTTTGTGATGTTTTATACATTAATATTTGATATTAATGTATTCATTAATATTTGTGGCAATCATTTATGGCACAAGAAGAAAATATAATATATATATTTATATAATATATTATAAATACCTGAAAGTCTCCTAATCTCTCTTAACCAGCAGAAAATGTACTTGTACAGTATCTCAGTCCTTGAAGATCATGCAGTCATGTAACAGTCTCAGTGAATGATGACATTCTCTGTTTAGTGCAGTGCAGTACAGTGCAGCTTAGTGGAGATGTAGTGATTACAGTTTGCTCAGCAACAAAGATGAGGAAGAAGGCATCGCTGATTCTGTTAGACTAATAAACTTTAATATCAGGACAGCTGTAGTACTTTTAGTTAACAAAAAACTGCCTGTTCACATACTCCCCAAGGACTGGATTTCCAGAATCTTTGTGCTTGTATATTAATTGGTTTAATAATGTGCAGATTCTTCTGGTACGATCATATGATAAAACAATATTGATTAGAACAAATCAATTTGATTTCTCCAAAGACAAGACTGTGTTTTTGTTACTGTTGGGAAGACTGCGGCTCACTCTGGGATTTTCCACAGAAGGTAGCAGTCAATGGGTACATTAGCAGATAAAGCTGAAGACAATTAAGTTGAGAAATTGTCCCTGGTGATTCCTGTCAGGCCTCTGTCTTCACTGCAATTATGATTCTGCTCTTTAAATTCCACAGATTCTGGCATGGAAGAGTGAACACGTGATCTGGTAACTGCCAAACACAGGCAAAAAGATGTGTGTCACCTTCACAGGAATTTTTCTGTAATGTATATAGTCAGACAAAAAGAGGAAATTTAGAGATTTGTGAAATTTCAAAAATGGTTTCAGAATTTCTAAAACACAAGGCAAAGTATTCTGTTGTTAGATTATTATTTTTAAAGGAGAGAATGATTTGTGTTCATAAGAAATTCTCTTCTCACAGTGTTTGATTACCAGAACTGTCCTTGGTGAATGTGCTTTTTTGACTGAAGAATGTCATTGTTCTTTAGTTTAAGGTGTTTTTTTCTTTCCACATTTGATCATTTTGACATTTTTGTATGTCATTTTTTCATGTCATACATATACAGTATCTAAGTACATTCAAATCAGACATGGCTGTTGCAGCAAAGCCTTTGGACACTCCCGTGTTGATGTGCTTGCGGCTCACTTCTGCTAACGCCTGCTGCTGACAGTTTGGATCACATTTAGGAAACTGGTGTGCAACAGAAAATAAGAGTTGTTTTGCTGCCCAGATTCCAGTAGATTTTAACAAAGCACCATATCATTCCATTAGCCCTAAAAAGGGACTGAAATTGAGAAACCTCTTAACTTTGATCCTTCCACAGCAAATTGATACAGCTGATTTGTGCTTGAGTAATCCTGAGGACAGAGTGAAGAATTCCAATTTGTAGAGCACATGTAAAACAAGACTTTGAAAATGTATTTAAATCTTTCCTCCTTGCTCTTCATAGAATCTTATTAAAGCAAAGCAACAACTGATTTAACTCCCCACTTTAAGTCTAAGAGGGACTGTACTCCACTTCCCTGTTCTGCAATTTGAACGAGTAATAAAACCTCTGTGCTTGTAATTCTTCCTCTCCTGTTGAAGGAAGGTAACTGGCACTGGGAATGATCATATCATCCAATGATTAAAACTAATTAAATTATGCAAATATAAGCTTTATTGAACTGAACAATACAGGAATGAGTAAAAGATTTTGAAAATTAACATACTGTACCTCACACATACAGTAGTTGTTTGTAATTGGCCAATTTTCACATTACATTCCCAGTATTTCAATGCATCTTAATCAAGTTAAAGAAGTATTGTGTGGCAAACAGTAATAATAACTGAAAAATATTGTTCTGCATAGTACAGTATATGCATAGATATATGTATGTATGCAGTTCATACATACTGCAAGTCTTCGATATCCAAAACTCAACTGGGGCTATTCTCATAGCCACAATGTGTTTAAAAAACTAACTGATCCTTGAGAATCACTAATTCTCATAATAGTTATTGTTTCAATAAATGCAATGAAGTCAGTATTGACCACTCAGTCACAGAATCTGCATAGCAACATTCAGTTTGGTGAAAGTTTCTGTAAAGACTTGAAACCCAAACTCTAAAGCACTGACTATAAAGCAATATCTTTGATTACCAAGTACTGTTTTGAGGCTCTTTAATGTGGTTTCACAAAATGCCCAAGATTAAGAGATGCTGAGCGTAGTTTATGTCAAACTTATGTTTTTCACAGTAATCACCATATACATCCACAAACAGGGAAAAATAACTTCTCAACGAATCGTTTAAAAATAGGAGTTCAGATTCACAACATTATTGTTTTTTAATTGAAGGATCGATAAGATCATGCATAAGCATAATACCAAACAAACCTTGATAGCCAAAAACAGTCATAGCTCGATTACAGGTTCATTAACAGAAGACCCTCTATTCCTGGACATTAAATATAGATAAGCATTCTGAGCTTTAAAGTTTCCCTTTTTTGAAATTTTGTGTAACTCTTCCACAGGACTGGACTGTGGTATATTGTTTCACTTATGAATCATATCTGGATATTGTATAGAACAGTTAACATCTATACAAAAAAATGCAGTTCTTTCATTTTGCATTTGAAAATACAGTCAAAACCAAATTTAAGTCAATGCACTTCATACAAAATTCACATTTTACATTTCTATAGTAAAGTGGAATCAATCAGAAACAGGTATTTGCATTGTCAATAACCCATCTGCTGCTGTAGACGATAACTTTGGGTGCTCTGATGTAAAACAACAACATATAAAGATCATCGATCATCACCACAGTCCACCCAACACACAAAAGTGAAGATTCATATTCAGAAGCACTTATCTACTTAATATAATCTTCTGCCAAAGTATGTTTGTTGTTGTGATTGTTTCTTGCATTAGAAAAGGAAGAACACCCTCAGAGACTGGCCTTGCTGCAGTTCCTCCAGTTTGGAATGGATTAACCCTTCAGTAGATCTTTTATTGTAAAACACAAAGCTGCTGAAATTCCGTGGCAACAGTTGTCACCATTTTAAGGTTATGTTGACAACTTTTCAATATTTTGGCTAAGCCCCTGTATCTGCTGTATATATCTGCCCCTACATCATGCAAAAAGTGTTCAAAAACTCCTACTGAAACTATGGGAGTAAATGATTGAGATGTTTTACTTGAATTTCAAAACATTGTGTAAATCATTTTATAAGACATTTTGACACTACTTTTATGTGCTTTATTTCAACCATGTGTATTAAAAGTACATTGTGGAAATTGCACTATTTCTGTCCAGTGTCTAACATGATGTCATCCAATAAAGGAATGCATCACCCTCATTCCCTTTTTCTAGGTGCACTCTGAAGCTCAATACTGCGCACAGATTGTATGACGCAAGTGGTATGACTGTTTTGAATCATAAACAAACATACTGTACAGGAAAGCAACTTGCAAAAGGCAAATCACTAAATCTAAGATCACTGAAAAATTCAGTATCCAATCGAGCTTCTCAATTTCTTTTTTCAGGCTGTGGATGAAATGCAATTAAATAGTTTCCCTTCAAAGACTGTAGTTTTATTTTGGGCTTTTGCAGGAAACAAAGTGTGAAATGTGTTAATTTAATATGAAAGGCTTTGCAAACTTCAAAGCAGATGGACCCTTCCTCCCTTTGAGCCTCTGTCACACAGACCTCTAGCCATTTTGTTCTGTACTGGAGGGTATTTGCGCTGACCTGTGTGCTGTGCCTCTGGATACTGCATGTTGTAATTTGTAAGAGCCTTGATCTGTTTTTTGAGCCCTGCTGTAATTCTGCTTCAGAGGAAAGTGAATATGGATATGTAGGCTGTGCTGTTATACAATATGTAAATATTGAACTTTTGTGTTTTATGGACTGAAAAATTGTAAAAGCCATGTTCTTTTGTAAATAGAATAAAGTGCTTCAGGCCTATGTTTTATTAGCATAACATTCTTACCAGTAACCATCCTTTACATACATACTGCAGAGAACTACTGTAAGACTGTGGGCTTTTATCAACCAGAATGTTTTGGCTTTTTTTAAAAAACAAGGTCTTCAATTTTTAAATTATTGTTACCTTTCAATAGCCTTCAACAGATTATTTGCAAACTCCTAATATATCCAAGCACTCATCTCACTGTGATCCAGAATGATTTCAGCTTGAGTTTTTTATTATTTTCTTTTGAGAAATGACCTAAAAACCTGTAAATAAAATTTGTTGGCTGTGACAGGATCATGTATGGGCTTTTTTCCATCTGCTTGCTCGGAATCAATACAGAGGGTGATTGCATCTTAAAAAAGCAAAAGTGCCTATACAGTAGATGGATTTAGGATTGGATGGATTAGGAAAGCTTAATACCAAAAACACCTGAATAGTAGAACAATAGAAACATCTAAAGAATCATTGCAGACCATGAGAAATGTTATGACTACATAACTACAGTATACACTGACATAATACGAGAGTATCAATAAAGCTCTGTTTGCAAATACTATAAAGCCTTTAGCATTCACTGCAATATAGATTAGCGTAACCATCTCACAAAGTCATCCCGACTAGACTCCCAGCACAAATAGTATTAAACTTAGACCATTGTGTTTACTTCACTTGATATCACCTGTTGGCCCATTTTGCCATGGGTGAATAGTGTTTTAAAATACAGTATATCTATCTAAAATGTAGGTTATTGCTTTCTGCTTTCAAATGCAATGCATAGGTGTTCTAGAAAAATGGACCTGGTTTCTATTTAGATTCTCTGCTAACTTTGAGCTCATATTATTCTCCTGTTCTATGTAGAGCTCAGAACAACTGTACTTGGCTTTCTTCACCTCACAGAAGTTTTTGTTGGCTTCAGTGATTTCATGTCCTCATAATGGCCCCGTCACTAAAGAATGCGTTCTGCAGTATTTACAGCATGTAACAATGCATTTAGCAAAACTGTAATTGTTCATAACAACCCTGAAAATACACTTACACAAAACTAATTTAAAAGTAATAGTAATT